ATGAATGTGGGGAGACCATAGAGGATACATTGCAGTTACTCATGTAAAGGGGGTGCTTGTCAGGATTGCTGATGGTAATAGGGAGGAACATGCAGAATCCAGATGCTTAGGAGGCAAAATGGACAGACTTGGGAATGAACATGGTATATGTAGGAAGACCGTGCTGTCAAGGGTGAGGCCCAGGCATCTGACTCATTTGGGTTGCAGAATGAATGTGCCCTTTGCTCAACTGGGGACATATAGCAAGAGACCCTTGGTTGGCTCTTTTGGGAAAGGATAAGATTGAAGAGAGATTTTGTTTTTAAAAGTGTTGTTTTATCTGGGAACAGGGCTTATTGGGCATAAAGCTGCATGCAGTCTTTCAGCTCTCACTCTGGACCTCGGACTGGGATTCTTTGATTCTCCACTTGTGAGCCCACTCTTGTTGCTATGCCTGACCAGACCCACACAACAGGTTCGGAGGGCTGCCTTGTCCTGGGCACCTGTGTGTTATGACATGGAGCCACTCATTATAGTATCAGAATCACTCCAAATACAAGGTGATGAGGCCAGAGAGTAAGGGTAATCTGCCTTTGAATAATGGAGAGACTCACAAGGCCTATGGTCTTTTTGTATTCTTACGTTAAAGCAGCCAAGACACCAGCCCTCTTGCAAGTACTTGCATTATTCTAGTAATGGTAATTGGTTTCTAAGTCCAGGGAGATGTGACAGAGTAGCAAAAAATTCTGAGGGTCATTACATGAATTTTGGTAAGTATGGAGGTTAGCGAAAGGCAGTGAAAATAAATTAGATGAAATAAATAGTGAAAATAAATTATTTTCTAATAAATTAGAAAATAAGTTAGATGCAGTGAAAATAAATTTAATTGTGGGGTTACCTTGAGTCCTTCACTATGTGGATCTCCATATGTACGTATGTATGTTTGGATGTACACATGTATGTTAAATTTTACCCAAGGAGGGAACAAAAATGTCTTTACTGGTATTACTGGTAAAACGTGGGTGAAATTAGGTAGAATTCTGTTTTTAAAATTTCTGACAAGCCCTCATTTTATAAAAGGAAGATTATTCTTGGCTTAAGTTGTTTTATCTGCTAAAGCAGAACATGGTTTCTCCCGGAGGACAGGGGCACTTTCACTGGTGCCCTAGTGAGCAGATGGCTTTGGGAACAGGCTGTTCAGGCTCAGACTTCTAGCTGCTTCCATATCCCTTACCTCCATGTCTCCTTAGTCAGAGGCAGAGCCTACTTATCCTGTAAAGCAGATCCTTGTCCTCCCCAGAGACTGCCAGTTACTTTTCTCTGCTTTGGCCAGTATTCTGCCTTTCTAGCAACAGATGTTTCTGCAAAGTAAATATTATTGACTCTGCTTTGCTGCTAGCTGTGTCCTGTACTGCCTGAATGTGAAACAGTGGGGTTATATGAGCAGGGTGCTCTGAAGCTTGGCATGCATCCAGCAGCAGTACCAGCTTCTTCTCCTCTTCTCCTCTTACTGGAATGTTAGATTCCTGTGTGTATCAGAGTGAAGACTCCAGAAAGAAATCTCTGTGCCACTGAACATCCAAGGTGATCATCTACACAAGATGTCACAAAACTTTGAGTTGGAATAGACAAGAAGCAGTGACTTATGGGGTGTTCCCCTTTTTTTAAAAGATTTATTTTATTTATGCATACAAGAGCTGGGGTATAGGCTAGAGGTTCTGGGGGTGAGAGGATTCACCAGAGATAGAGTGGGGAGCAGAACAGGTGGATTGACTGAAATGCACTGCTGAGGGGAGCAGTGCGCAAGACAGGAGAGGTCTGCTGTACCGTGTGGGTTAGCTCCCTGGCCAGGGATCGAGCTTGTGCTGCAATGGCTGTCGATAACCTAATAGTGCTGAAACTTAATCCCTTGCGCCACCAAAGAGGCCCCAGTTTATTTTGATCCAGTGAGGTGCAGCCTGAGGATCCTTGTGCTACAAGCACTTCAATTCAGAGAAGTTAATTGAGCTGTGTTCTTGCTTTTTGTTTGTCTTTAAATACTCTGTGAGCTGAAAACTATGTTTTTATGTCAGTTCTTTAACTTCTCAGAGTGACTGATACAGGTACTTACCTCCCCCTGGGTCCCGTTTTTGGAGGATTCGTGGATTAGTAGCCCATCCTGGCCTTACAGTATCAGGAAGGCTGAAACTTACAATGTACTGGGGGTCTCACTGGATTTCATAACAGCTCTTTGGTTTAGATAGGACTAACAGCTTCTGTCAGATGAGGTGGCTGAGACTTTGACTAAGCCAGATTTAGTTACATTCTGGTAAATGGCAGAGCTGAAACTTGAACTTAGAAGCCAGGTGAGTGTGGGTTGAAGGCAAGGGGCTGGGGCAGGGGTAGGGGCTGGGGCTGAGGCTGAGGCTGATTAGCCTATAACCAGGACCCTATGCAATGCAGGTTAAGAGAATGAGGTTCTTCAAAGCAAGCTTGAGATGCTACTCAGAGACCAGTGGGTGAGGGGTGGGGTGGTGGGGTGGGTCCTGCACAAGCAAACAATAGGTGTCCACTTAACCTCCCCGGAAAGATTTCGTTGGAGCATTTGCCATTCAAGCCCACAGTGAGTTCCTTTTTGGTTTCCAACAATTGGGATTCTCACCCTCCTGTCCTCACTGGCCTGCAGCCCTGTACTGACTGTATACCAGTACTCATTAACCAGTCTTCCGTGGGGCGCTGGCCTCTTTATCACCTTTGTGATAAAGATGCAACTGCTTCTCAAGTTTGTGCTGTGAGCACTGGACAATGAAGTCAGGCTCTTCTGATCATAAGCTAGCTGCCCTGCTCCTGGCACTCCTGTGGAAAGGCCCCACAAAGGCCCGTTGTGCATTAGTGACCACTCCTTGATCCCCATTGCAGCTGCCCTGGCAACTCAGCTTTTCAGGTGTGTGCTGGGAGCGTTCCCAAACTGGGTTTACATTTCACCTTTTTTCAACTTTGTTGAGAAGATTGTCCAGCTGAAGTCTTTGTTGCCCTATTGGGGAGGCACAGGGGGGCTGTTAGGGGACAGAGGAGCAACCCTGTTTTGACTCTTTGCTCAGGCCTTTGTGAGTTCTGGTTGGGGGAACATTCTAATTAAAATATGATAGAGTGCAGCCATGTCCACATTCTATGCGTGACACACTTCGGGACTCTTGGGGGGCTTTGTCTTCCACTTTGAAAGTGAAAGTTTCTCCTTTTCTCACTCCTGCCTGCCTGTGTCCTCTTGTATCTTTCTTTCCTGCAGAGTTCTGACTTTCAGATGCATCTGTTTCTTTCTTGACTTGCCAGCGAGTGGTTTGTGTTCTCAGGGATATCCTCAGCCTGGTTGAAGAGCTGCCTCACTCCCCTGCCAACATCTTTGGATTTTTTCCAAGGCCCGTTCCATTAAAGGGGCTGAATCTGGGAGAGATTGGAGACTGGTGGCTGTTGGCTCCCTCCTGCGTTAAGGTCTACTCTAAGTACTTTCCTTTCCTGGTGTAGGACAGAGGGCCTTACACAAGCCACAGCCAGCTCGAGACCTGTATGGTCCAAGCCTGTGGAAGGGTGGGCCTGGGTTGGAGCCACTGGTATCCAGGCAATGGCCTGAATCCCAGACTTGAGAACAGCTGGACAGATAGGCCTGGTGCTGCCACTGGCAGCCGTCACTTGGAATGAACATTGGGATTGGTAAGCTGAGCACTGGAAGTTGATTTCTTTACAATATCCCCTCCAAATACACACACACACACACACACACACACATACATTATTCAGCACTTATGAACAGGATGCTCTGCCAGGTACGTGAAGAGGAAACAAAGCCAAAAGATGGAAAAAACATGACCCCAAACCTTGAAGGACAATTCTGAGAACTAGGAAATAGCTGAGGATCATAGATGCTTTTATTCCAATAGATTATGTTGCTCTCTGAGGCCAGAGTTTCCCCTTCCCCCCCAACCCCCAGCATCTTATTAAAGCCAGGTCTTGTTGCCAGTTATGCCTCATATTTCCCTCCTCTGGGAATTTGAACTTAATGCCATTTCCCCTTCAATGAGGGAAACATGTATGAGGGTAATTTGAATGATTAGCCTAATCTGCAGGAAGGCTGCATGTGGAATTAAGTTAAGCACATTTGCACTGAGCAGCCCTGTCTGTCAGGCCACTTAAAGGTGCCTTGGTGGTTTTATACCCTTAACAGAAGCTGAGGGTTCAGGAAGGATTATTGGCTTTTATTACTGTCTTAAAGGAAAGCTTGTTTTTTAAATTTGACAAGGGCCTCCGAGAACTAACTTTATGGTAACCATGTGTGGGGTGTGTTTTTACCTCAACCTCAACAATATTGTCAGGGCTTTATTTTCACGGTGATGGGGGAATGTGGTGATCCAGGGAGATGGTTTAGGTGGAAATTTGTCAGGCATTGTCACTCTGCTTGTGAGGGGAGCTGAGGGGTTCTGAGAACTTGGATCTCATGTGTGCTTGAAAGGGAAGAGGAAGGGCAGGTGCCATTGAGCTGGGACAGTTAGTTCTGTGCCCTTTGTTTTCCACCTCCTTACCTAAGGCCAGTTTGTAGTATGAGTTGAACTCAGGAAGGTTACTGACATGTCTGATGTGGGAGCAGCTTCACCGACCACATGGAGGGTCACTGGCAGAGCCTACCTGCAAGGCCATAGATGCTAATGTTAGCTCTGACCCTACTTCCTTCTTGACCTCCTTTGCAAGTGGATTCCCACATGTGTCACATGGCGATGACAAGACTCATTGTGTGGCTTGAGGAATTGGAGATAGGACCATAGTGTTAAAACAAATGTAACAAAAATAATAACTTCTAAAGCAAATTAGTATTTCATGTTATTAACAGATAGTTACTGTTTTGAACTTAGTGTTTTTCATGCTGAGAAATGGAATGCCTGGGTACAGGAGCAAATCTCCTAGCCCTGTATTAGCAGAAGGACTGACAAATGCAGAGAGTATAACAATCAGTTTGTTTTAGTAATTTGTATTTTGTATTTTTTTCTTGCTAGATTTGTCTTCGGCCAAGAGAAAATTTGCAGATTCCTTAAATGAATTTAAATTTCAATGCATAGGTGATGCCGAAACAGATGATGAAATGTGTATAGGTAAGTCGTAACCTTGTATAAGATGAAAATGTTCTGCTCATCACAACTTTCCATGACCTGGCCAAGCCTGTGTACTGGGAGAGGAAGTATCTAGGCATCCTATACAGAAGTGTCGGTAGCAGCAGTGGCAAGGCAGAGTTATGTGAGCATTTGGGGCCCAGGACACACTGCGGCCACGGGAGCAAGCTTGAAGGTTTGTGGTGGGGCTCTCCCTGCCCCCTGCCTTTGGCATTCTTCTGGCTGAGTTTGTGACTTTCTTCCCCATAGCCTCAATATAAAAACTTAGAGAAAAGCAGAGTGCAGGTAGATGAGGGAAGAATTAGATAGCTCAGAGGCTGCAAAATGACAGTTCTTGGGCTGAGATCAGAATGCAGCCCTATTTTCTCTGACATTCATTTTTAATTGAATTACCATATAAATTGAATTTATCCAAAGTTTTCCAGCTTCATGGAGAATCGGAGCAGCTGGCCCTATATTCTGGCCTGGCAGCAGGTGTCTGGAGCTTTATAGCTGCTGCTGCCCAGGGATGAGGGGATGAACTCAATATCTGATTCATTGTGGTCCCCATGTCTCCCAGAGAGTGGGGTTCCCATTGATCACCTCTCTGGCTACTTCACTCTTCACCATCATCCACCTGTCTTCTGTAGGCAATACTGAGCACAGAGGATTTGCAATGTCAAGATACCTTTCGTTGCCAGGATCTAATCGTTGCACCATATTCTCCTTACATTGGACATCTTGGTTGACTCCATTAAGTGAGCAAGAATTGAGAAATTTATATTACATTAAGATATCAGATGTTTACGGAATCCCTGCTGCCATGCAAAACACCAAGATCTCAGATGAGCGAAGGAAGTTGGGAGACTGCTGAGAGCAGTGAAAACACATCATTGTTGTCATGATCAGTGTGTAATTCCAGTGTTACACAAATGTCCTGAGTGTCCTCAGGGTTATTGCTTGTACTGTCTGTTTCCTCTGAGCATAACCGTGGTGAAGGAGACTGACCACGTCTGACCGCAGTTCTCCAAGCAGTATTGTATTAATTACTGACTTGAGGACCCAGGGAGGAGGAACCCAGGAGAAGCCAGAGTTGTGGCTTCTGAGGCCAACAGCACTGTTTGTTTAGTTCTGGTGCCAAAGAAAAGGTTGGGTTGTGACGCAGCCATGCAACAAAGGTTAAGGAGGTCGAATCCTGGGCAGGAAATCCTTCAGCTCCTAGGCGGAACTCTGCCCCTTCCAGCCTGGGGTCTGGGAGCCGGCCAGCATCTCATCAGTCCTGGGTACTCTCTGGAACAGGCAGGTCTTTTCCTTTAACGAAGTCCTTCCCTAGCTAGAGTGCCAGGTGGAATTACCTGCATTTCTGTGTTATCCTTAATGGTTAGTGATTAAAAGATAAGGGGAACCTTGGAAAGCAGTTGCTTTAGGTTTCTGCATGTGCTGAGGGATTTCAACCCCTAACATCAGAGCTGTGTCTGGAGAGCTATCGAAGTCCTGCTACTCTCTTTCCACTTCATGGCCCCTTTCTCTTTTTCAGCAAGGTCTTTGCAGGAGTTTGCCACTGTTCTCAGGAATCTTGAAGATGAACGGATACGGATGGTGAGTATAGCTGTGCTCCTTTGGGTCCCAGATAGTGGTCATGTAGAGGGAGCCAGGGATTAGTTGTCAGAAGCCCTGGGTTTGAGTCCTGGCTCTGCCACATATGTACCTTGGGCTTTGGGCAAGCCTCACCTTCTCATCTTTGAAGTCTTTTGTGGATGCTAAAAGATGTACTTGGATAGTTTTAGAACCACATCATTGTTCTCCTAAACATTCACTCTAAGGTGCATATCTATGCTGTATGACTTCAAGGTGAATCTTAGAACTTGTTAACTTTGGGGTCTTAGATTCTCTACAGGCAGAATGGAAATCAGGGTATCCCACTCTGCTTATTAGACCTGCCCAAGAGCTCTTGGAGGTAGAGGTCATTCCTTCACTTTTAATTCTGAAGCACCAGATAAGGGTCTGCCATATAGTAGGCACCTAGTAAGTACTCTCATCTTGGAGATGAGAGTAACTGTACAGTTTTTCACAGAGGTGCTGTGCACACCAAGAGTCAAATGCTCATTTTCATGTTCTTGTCTATTACAGTTTATTTGCATGGGGTTCAGCACTAGCAGATGAGATTCTACATCCACAGGAATTTCTTTTGCATGTTCCCCCATATCTCTAGGATATGAGCAGTGAAGCCTGATCTGAGTGCTGTGTGCTGATTTGCCCCCAGGAGGACTTGTCTCCAGAGTCCTGAGGGAATCCCTCCTGAGGATTCTTCCTCTCTTTCCTTACTAAATACTGATAATTTGAGACTCAGTCTGTTTTCTTAGTCTGCTCAGCTGAGTAAAAGAAAAATTCAGCTATTCCCCCTGTGTTTCATCTTTTCTTGTAAGTCATCTTTACAGCTCACATGAAACATTTCACTTCTGCTCAGCAAACGTGTGGTAGTTTTCCAAACAATTACTTGTTCTATAATTTAACTCAGTTCTGACTCTCTGCTCTGAAATAACTTCAAGTTAAGGGCTTAGTCCCACAAGTCTTCCCCTCACCCCTCACACACAACAGAAGCCAGTTGAACTGACTATTGATTGAAAGTTCCAACATCCCTTGATTTCAGTTAATTTGCTAGAGTGACTCATATGACTCAGGGAAACACACTTTACCAGTTTATTATAAAAGGATATGATATAAGGTACAGTTGAACATTCACATGAAAGAGAAGCATGAGGCAAGGGCCTATGGGAAGGGCCATGAAGCTTCTGTGCCCTCTCTGGGCATGCTGCTCTGCCAATACTGCCACTTCTTCACCAACCTGGACTTTTATGGAGGCTTAATCACATAGGCATGATTCCATTGATCATTAGTTCCATTTCAACCCTTTGCCCTTCTCAAATGAATAGGGAGCTGAAAATTCCAAGCTGTTACTATGGCCTGTTCTTTCCAGTGACCAGTTCCCATCCAGGAGCCCACCCCAAGTGCCCTCATTAGAACAAAAATACTCCTATCATCAGGAAACTACAAAGTTTTCAGAAGCCCTGTGTCAGGAACTGGGGCCAAAGATCAAATATTAGGACAAAAGATGTTCCTAGTGCTGTGATCACTCTATAAATCACAGGGATTTCAGGAGCTCTGGGGCAAAAATCAAAGGCAGATATATATATATATATATATATATATATATCTCATAATTAACAGTATCATATCATAAGTAACAGTATCATGGGCAGCAATAACAAAAATACCATAGACTGGGTGGCTTATATAGCAAATATCTATTTCTCATAATTCTGGAGATTGGTGAGTTCAAGATCTAGGTGCTGATTGACTTAGCTCCTGATTTGGACCCTCTTCCCGGCTTGCAGATAGCTGCGTACTTGCTGTGTCCTCACATGGAAGGGAAAGGGAGGGGAGCCCTCTTTTTGATAAGGGCACTAATTCCATTCATGAGACCTCTACCCATTGGGGGTATAAAAGGTAAACTGAATCCTATTAAATTTTTAACTTTATTTGAGCAAAAATTGATTCAAATCAGACAGTAACCCAGAAGTGACTAGAACACTTTACTGACAGGAGCTAGGGGAAAGACTTTCATAGAGAAGATGTGGAAGCAAAGCAAGGAAGTTATTTGACTAGCGATAACTGAGATGTTGTCTTATTTGGGAAAGCCTAGTTTCCCTTAGTTTTGATTTCTTAAACTTGAGCCATTTACAGGCTTGGACTTTTGTTTGCTTATTTGTGTTTACTGCTAAGGTATTAGAGACCCCTAAGTCTAATAGCCTCCTTGTCTAATTTACTTAGCAGGAGTTAGGGCTTCCACATACTGATTTTGGGATGAGTGGTGGGGCACACTTTAATCCATAGCACCTACAAGGACATTATGTAGCCTCACATGATCTGGGAGGTTGTATAATCCTCATTGTTCAGATGAAGATGATTGAGGTTTACAGAGGTCAAATGAAATGTCCAAGTTCACATAGTTAATAAGGGTAATGGTCTGGATACAAAGCCAAGCTTGCATTATACCAAAGAATGTGGGACTTCCTTAAAAAAGCTTAAAAGGGCAGAGGCATCTTACTTTCTGCCCTGCAGAGACAGTTTTCCTTGATTGCTCACTGCTGGGTGCTTGAACCAAAATGGAGAGGGTGGTGGCTGGGGTAGGGTTGGTGGTGGGTGGAGGCGGGGAAAGCTTGTGTGTTTGTGCATGTGCTAGTGCCTGAGAAAGGGAAGTAATTCTTTTAAGTCTGATTCTTGGCCTAGTTAGTATTTGGGGGTGGGGGTATGTGGTGAGCAAATCACAATGAATACCCTGCAGATTGCTATGGCCTGTGGTAAGAGAACAATGACTGGATTATACTTTTCAGCTTGCCTCTGCAATTTTATTATTAATGTCAGTGAATTGGGTTTCCACTGCCTGCAGCTGAGTATCTGGCCACCACAAGCCCCTTCCCTACCTCCTCACCCTGTGACAGCTTCATCATCAATTCAGCTCCTCTTAGCAAAGTTGTACCTATTTGGGAAACTTTTCCTGGGGTAGATATCCCTTAGATATTTGGCCATCCTTTGTAGAGTTAATCCTTGAACAACATGGGGGATAGTGGCGTTGGCACCCCTCTTAGTCGGAAATCTGAGTATAGCTTTTGATTCCCCCAAAACTTAACTACTAATAGCCTGCTATTCACGTGAAGCCTTAGCAATAACAACACATTTTTGTACATAATATGAATTATATACTGAATTTTAATAGTAAAGTAAGTTAGAGAAAAGAAAATGTTAAGAAAATCACAAGGAAAAAAAAATCCACTTATAGTAATATGCTGTACTTAATGATACTCTTAAGTTTATTTTGTATAAGAAAATTTGTATGTAAATGGCTCCTCACAGTTCAAACCCATGTTGTTCAAGGGTCTACTATATTCTCTTCTATCCAGTTTATGGCTTTGATTCTGCATTGACCTCATTGTGTCCTGATAATCAGGGCATGTGTCTGTGTCCCTTAGTAAATTTAAGTTTTAAAGGACAGGGAATAGGCTACTGTATTCCCAACATCAGTGCAGTGCTTAGAACTGAGTAAAAATCACAGTTACAGAATCTGAGAACCAGTGACTTACTCCTCATTATCTGCAGTCCCTCATTTGACAGATATGATACATGAGGTCTTATGAAGGCTGATAACAAGTAGGATTGGGACAAGGACTTGGGTTTCTTAACTCCCAGGTGAACAGTTAGTGCTTTTGTATATTCAGCATGTACTTAGAACTGGATTCTCAACCACGAATGCCCGTGGAAACAACTTGGGGCATTTAAAATAGACTGATGTCTGGGACCAGGGACTCCAATTATGATTGAATTGACCTGGAGTGTGACCCCGACATTGACATTTTTAAGTTCCCAAGGTGATTCTAACAAATCCCTATGGCTGAGAACCACTGACTTAGGAGTCAACATACCATTGTGAGCTTCAGAGACTTACAGTTGACTTGTGGAAAAGACTTAATTAAACAAGTGAGCCAATTAAGCAACATAAAAAATAATAAAAATCAAAGACATCAAATAATGTTGCAACACTCCAGTGTTAAAATGCCCTCTTCTAAAATAAAGGCTATCAAAATTGAGAAAAAGGCTAAGTTTGGTGGCCTGCCAGTTAGTTCTTTGCTGTGTCTATCCATGGCTTCTGGCCTTTACTCTGTTAGTTTCATTGCAGTGGATATGCATGTGATTTAGAAAAATAATGCTTTGTTGCAATGAAATTCCTGAAATAATTACTTGAGTGACAAGTGAGCACAATTGAATGACTTAAAAGGAAGGATTGTAAAATAGTGCACTGCCTTAGAAAAGACCATAGAATTGTAGAATTGGAACAATCCAGCCTGCTCATTTTGCAGATGAGAAAATTAGAGTCCAGAGAGGTTAAATGTTTTGCCCATGGTTCCACGGTTGGCAGCCAATCCAGAAATCATTCATTCATTCCTTTAGTCATTCAAGAAATATTTGAGTGCTCTTTTATTGCAGCACTTTACTGTTTTTGAAGATAGTGGTGGAAAAGTGAGCAGCTATAAGATAGTGGTGTGTATGTGTGTGTAGTGGTGAACCAGAAAACTTCAGCTGTCTTAAATTCCACTGAAATAACCACTTGGGTAAGGGGTGGTGGGAAGTTTCTTTGGATTACATTGCTGGTCAGAGAAGCCTTCCTAAAAAGGACCTTTAAACTGAAAGCTGAATTACAGTAAGTAATGAGTCATCCATGCCAGGATTTGGGGCAGAGGATCAAGAGAACAACCTATCGCACAGGTCCAAAGGTGGGACAGGTTTTGTACATTTAGGTGCATTCAGGTGATGGTGTGGTTGAGGGCAGGAGGAGGTATAAGGAATGGAGAGGCAGACAGTGGTCAGGAGGCACGTATGTCCCTGTCCGGTGCTGATAAGGCTATAAGAAATCAGATGTGGAAGATTTTCATGCCACACATGTCCAGAAGTGTTTCTTTTTAATCTCAACTTTGAATACATCTACTTAAATATCATTTGGATGAATGAACATTTACAAGAATTTACCTGAAACTTGAAATTTAATTCTCTTAACTATTTGCTTCTGCTTTCCATAGTTGCTTATATTTTTAGTGGTGCTCATTTTTATTTTTCAAGAGTCTATCTTAATCATGTGTGGCAAGGGAATGATTTGGATGCTGAATAGGTTGCGTTGTGAATACTTGACACAGACACTCAAATTTTATACTGAGACATGGAGGCATTTTGTACCAGAACTACTGTGTTTACCGATACTGCTTTTGGGTCTTTCCCTGACTCTCCCTCTTTTCTTCATCAGATTGAGAATGCCAGTGAGGTGCTTATCACTCCTTTGGAGAAGTTTCGGAAGGAGCAGATTGGGGCTGCCAAGGTAAGAATTTCACAAGCCTTGTTTCTGGATCTTAGGGTTGGAGGTCTGAAAAAAAATGGCATGTTCTTTAGAGACTCTAAGCCCACTACCTTCAGAAAGTCAGATAAGCTCAGAGCCGGGCTCACCTATTTTTCACAAGTGTCTGTCACTCTCTGTGCAGTCCACCCCACAGCAGCCATTCTGGTAAAATGGCATAAACCAGGTCTCGTTGTGTGGTAGTTAGCAGTATGGTTGGACAGTGACTACACTGAGTATATGTGTTTATGGAACTGCATTTTTTGTGGACGTCTAGGACTCAGAGCCAAGATTGGGGCCTGTGGGTGCTAAGACCCAATTGAAAGGGAGGCAGCTGGTACTTAGCCTTAACTGATTTTCACACATGTGAAAAAGCACCCTCTTGCTAGATCTTTAATTTTTTTCAAGAGAAACCGAAAAGCCAGTTTTATAAGAAATACTCTGCTTTTTAAAATGTTGGCAAATAATTTAAAAACACATTACTTATTGTGCAGGTTGAGAACGCAGGACTGCTTCAACCCACAGGTCACCATTGCTGTCACTGACTTGGAGGCTCTGTAGCCAAAACTTGACTGACTCCAGTGTTTCAGAGCCCCCAGGGGAATCTTCCTCACTTGTGAAAGGAGGGATCTTCCACCTTTCTAAAGCACTGTAAACCCGTCATTTTGACCATTAGTAGAATATTGGAAGCCACCTGCAAGAAGATGTTTTCATTGGAGTCAGTGAAAGCAAAAAGATTTTCAAGATTCTCTTCCTGGTTTTCCAGAACTGTGAGCCATTCAGCTGCAGTCCCTTGCGCCATCTGCAGGAGTTTTGTGGCAACACCACCCTTGCTAATTGTGGATGTCCCTCACTTGTGACGTGGCTATGAGCCATTCCTTGGGTAGGAAAAAGATAGCTAAATGTCACAAAGCATTTTCTGTCCCCATTCCTCTCAACTAAGAGCATCTGCTTTCTGTATACTTGTTATTATGACCCAAAAAAGATGACCTGCATTTCAGTCAAGGTTGTTCAGTGGAGTGGTTAGCCGTAGATTGAAGGACCATCCATAGCAAAGATTTTTCTTCAGTTCTATAGCACTCCCCTACCAATTTTACATTTTATATTGATGAAGAAATTGGAGCTCATTGGTTTTGTTTCAGAGATCAAGGAATTTCTAATTGGTTCTTGAACATCATGGTTGGTAGAATCTATGAATGCTGAACCCATGAATAGAAATAAATCCAAGTGTGAGTGGCCCCATATTGCTCAAGGATCAGCTGTAATAATTAAAAGGGAGTCTTGTTCCTAAGATTTTGTGTAAAACTGAGCCAACCCAGCAATGACTGAACATGCACCCTAAGTGCCCCTCTCTGAAGTTGTAGTCCACAAAGACCCCACAAGCAGACCTCTTTGATGGTCCTGGACCTGTGCCTCCCAGCCTGATGATACACAGAAGTGGCTGTGGAGTGCATTGAGGCTTAGTGGATTTATTCACTGAGTCATCTTCCAGTGATTATCTATCTTCTCCCTCAGAGCGCAGATGTCTCTCAGTTCCGTCTCTTCTGTCCAGCCTGGTTTGGGGTTAGCACAGATACCATGGAAAAGAAGCAGAAGTCTGCATGAATTCCCTTTGGGATGAATGCCAGTAATCTTAGTGACAAGAGCAGGTACTTTTCTAGGGGCAGGTATGGGGCTGTAGATGGTAAGAAATATGGGAATAAAAGAATTGAAGTAAAATAGGCACTTACCGAAGAATGTTTTCTCTTACACATACTGTATTATCTCATTCCTGTTAAAAGAATGATGGGTGGCATTGGGGATGATTTCTCATCTCCCTTCGTCATTTCTTTTTTCACTAAACCTGTTCCTCTTTTCCAGCCCCCATGCCCATACAGCTGTATCATAGTGTTTGGTGAGTTTAAAAGAAAACAAAGAAATAACAAACATAGTACTCAGTGGATGATCTAGGGACCAGACTTAGAAATACCTAAGAGCCAACAAGTGTTCTTCAGTCACCAAGTAGAAGTTTCTGCAGTCTGCCTTAGTGATGCTAAAATTACCCTTCCTCATCCTCTCCCCTGTGGTGCTGTCTCTGTTATATAATAACCTGTTGCTCCTTTCAAGAAACAGAAATTAGAGTGTTGGCGTGAGACTGCCTAGGGAGGAAGCCTTATAGCATTCTTTTGCCTATGTGACTGATCAGGAGTCTCACAACCGGAATCTTGGCAGAACCACGGTTCTACATCTAGATTTCTGAGTTTGGGGAGAATTCGTATTTCTTGTAGTTAAGTTAGGATCTACGGTGAATATAGAATTGACATTAGAGAATGGTGGTTGAAAGTGGGCCCTCGAGCTATACTGCTTGTTCTGTACTTCTTGCACATTAATAGGTGATCATACCTGTCCAGGCCTGTTTCCTGATATAAAATGCGGACAGTGATAGTCTTACCTAATAGAGTTATTATGAGGGAGAAATGAGTGAATGCCTATCAGATGCTTAAAATATTGCTTGCCACATAGTCTTTTGATGTTTTGATACACGTGGTTCATTCATTGAAAATATACGTGACGAGTTGCTTTGTGCTTTGCACTGTGCTACACATTAGGCAAACAAGTGCAGAGGTGGTGCTGTGCTCTTGGTGTGACTGGAGAGAAAGACATTAGACAAAAAGCATTTGTATGTAAACAGCAAAATTTCAAGTTGTGCTAGGTGTTGTGAAGGATTCCCTTTTTTGGACTTGGGAAATGGGAAGCAAATGGTGTACTTAGTAAGAAGGAGGTCGTTTTGGATTTTGGACCTAATCATCACCTCCTCTGCCCCTCCCCCATTATCATCATTATTATCATCATCATTGTTTTTCATTGAGTCCTTTCCCTGTGCCAGGCACTTAACAGTACCTGTTAAGTACTGTATATGGTGTGTCTTGTTTAATCCTGACAATCCTGCAAGGAGGTGGTTGTTTTTGTCCTTACTTCATTAGTCTTTGAGCTGAAAGAAGAAGTCTGAGCAATTATCTGAAGTAGTTATCCTCAGTTTCTAGATGAGGGCACTGAGTCCTGGAAAGGGCCAATGATTTGTTTAGCGAGATGGAGTTGGGAATAATTTCTAGGATCTGAACTCTGCCCTTAATCCACCCGCAGTGGACTCCCTGGACAGTGAACACCATACCGTGCCTGAGAAAATCTGACTCACCCCACCCTCCCATCTTAAGAACATTATTGAATTCTTAGTAGGCTTATTCCTGCAGAGGTCTTGTGGCTGTTTCTTCAGGACAAAAACTGCTTCCTTTTTCTCTTTGGCTGTCGTCTTGTACATGGACTTTGAAAGCTCGAGTTGGCAGAAAGTCATACAGTGCCCAGTGACTCATGTTTCCCAGCCTTTTCTTACCTCTGGCCAGCTATACTATCCCAGCCCAGGCTTCTCCTTTTGGGGGTTGCTGAAAGACTGGCAGAGTGGCTCAGTGAGCATTCATTGGGGTTGGAGCCCTTGCTCAAAGTCGCAGGTTTCTCTAAAGGGAGCGCTACCTAAGTCCATTGTCTTGTCCATCCTCATATTTGAAGGACTAATGTCCTCACTTGCTTCTTCATGGGTTCTTGTATGTAAGTAGTCTTTTTAACCAAATTCAGACTTGTAGAAATGAATGCATGTCAGCTAAAATAGGCATTTGATGCTTCTGCCCATTTTTTAAGACTTGGTATCTTGCTGTTGGCCAGATAAATGGTGTTCTCACACTTTGTGGGATTTCAGGGCTTCAGGTGATGACTGCTTGGTGCTTCCTGTGCTGGTTAGGCTCAGGTGTTCTGCCCAGAGCATTTTTACTTACTCTTCTGCTCTCTAGAAGGTTCTTTTCTACCCCTTCATGTGATTAGCAGATCTTAGCTCGCATCTCCTCTCCCCAGTGAGGCCTTTCCAGAGCATACTATCTGCAGAATATCTGTGGCTGTACCTTACTGATTTCCCTCCTAGCACTTGTGGCAATCTATAGCTGACTTTTGTTTACTGTTAATTGTTTCTTTTGCTCCTGGAATACCCCCACCATGAGGGCAGGGACCACTTGTGCCCTGTATTTCCAGTCCCTAACATGGAGCCTTGTACAGGGTGGTCACTCATCGTGTCTGTTGAGTGAGTGAAGTGATGTCTCTGAGCTTCCTTATTTGGTTGTGTTTTCTTTCCTCCTCTTAATAGCCCTAGAATTGCAGAAAAACAACCATAGGCATCCAAAGCAGGAATGTAGCACTCAGTAAATTTGACCCTGTTTATCAGATCAGTGGCAGCCTTCTTCTAGCCCCCTGGTCTGCTGTCCCCATTGGAATGTGGACAGAGGAGAGACTGCCTGTGAGTGTGTCTCAGGTGTGGTTGGGGACATGGGCTTTGAAGGCAGCTTGTCCTGGGATCAAATCCCAGCTCTGTCACTCCCTGTGACTTTCATAAATGAACTCTTGAATCTAAATCTTCTTATCTGTAAATGGAGGCTAAGAATAGAAGCTCAGTGACTCAGTGACTTGGTGAGGTAAAGGGATCATTAGATTTATTATGATGTTTATATTATTTTTCATTTTGAAAGCAAGAATATAGAATGATAAAAATTTCCCAAATGGAGGGGGAGAAATCACCTACTATACGATTTTCTTAACTCAAGTATTTTCATTTCCGTATCTTCCCACTAATCTGCATCCATAGGTAGGACACACCAAATTTATGTGATGCTATTATGACTTTTCATTATATCATGGGCACATTTCCACATGACTACTTACCCTTCTGGTTATATGTAATAGATGCCCACACTTTAATTTTCTCAAGCCCTATCCTTTGACAGTGATGTTGTTGCTCTCTCTCTCTCTCTCTCTCCTTTTTTTCCTATTATAAATGATGCTGCAGTGAATGCATTTGTGAAAATAACAGCTTTGGTTTGACAACAGACCTATATATGATATTGTGCCGTGGGATATTTAAGTTTATTAAGAAGTACTTATTGAAAACTGTCAAAGCTGTATCTACCCTTAGTCTAGACTTGTCCCATTTAAGCTGTAAGTGGATCTTCTTGTTTGGGGACTAGCTTCAGAGGTAACTTCCCTCCTTTGCTTTTGAACACCCTTGTGAGTTAGAAACTAGAATTCTCTGTTTCACAATGGAATGTGGTAGAAGGTGGAGTGCTGGCTTTGCCACCATTAAATAATGGGATTTGCCTCATTTCTGGCATTGTAGTCTAGGTGCTTCTATTACAGACAGACACTCAGAATTGCCTGGCTGTTGGTGGGGTGTTGCCTGGTTTAATGCACATGATTTGAAGAGGAGGAGTTGGGTTGTCTGTTGTTCTAAGGTGATGAAGAAACTATGAAGATTAGCAGAAAGATCCTGACTGAGCTTGCTTTTATTCCTGCAACATTCTCATCTTTTCCTCTTCTCTTTTTGCCAGGAAGCCAAAAAGAAATATGACAAGGAAACAGAGAAGTATTGTGGTACCTTAGACAAGCACTTGAATCTGTCTTCTAAAAAGAAGGAATCTCAGCTTCAGGAGGTAAGAAACTTCACTAGTTTCCTGAATAAGTGTTTCATTTTCACATGGTGCTGTGGATATGTGCTGCCGGCTCTTTACCAGAAAATCCTTAGAGCTTGATCCTTATCACTCATGTGATACCTGGTACTGGAAGACCTTTATGTCTTTCTAGCCACGCCACACCCTTGCTGGCTCTCCAGGTGTCAATGGTAGAGCAACATATGCCTGTCAAGATCACATTCTTTTGTGCTGGACAGCCCTAATTACTAGAATATGCTTCTTCCTTTCGTATTAAGATCTGTTTTCCTGTTTCTCTCACCCTTGACCTTGATTCTGCACTCTTACTTTACTTTTTGATTTCTGCTTTATGTTGGTGATTTGAAATGTCAGCATGTGAAATAATGTTGATTTTTAATGTCATCCTTCTTTAATAGTAATTTTTAAAAATTATATCAACCGGTACTTGACATCAGTATTAGTCTTTTTGTTGTTGTTGTAGGCTGTGTTTTATTGTCATTCATGTATTTTGTGTTTTGGTAACTCTCATTTCAAAAAATAAATTCTCTGACCTGTCTTCTGGTCTTTCTGGATTTGCATGGGGTTGTGCTGTCGTTGACTTAGATGGAGAAGTCAGCTTTACAGCCAGGAAGTTGTGACCATTTTTATTTAGGTCAGTGAGTTTTGCAGTGAGGGAATTTATGTTTCTGGGAGACAGGACTATTTGCTAGTAAACTCCAAATTTGACTTACACGAAAATCCTCTTATTTCACTCTTAAATTGCTTGACCTTTTCCCGGGTATAGGCTAAATAGAGGCTACATCTTCCAAACTAGCACTCTTTTTTTAATTTTCTTTTCCTTCTTAGCAAATATCATGCCTGCATTTCTGCCAGGTGGATGTTCATATGAAGATGGCTAGGTCAAAGGTTGAAAGATAAAGATAACTTGGCAGATGGTGGAATCTACTCCCCTCTCATCAAGGATTTGTTACACAACTTCACTTAGGAATCTGCTGTTCTCAGAAGTCAGCTTTGAACCAGTTGTTTGAGTGATGATGAGGATTTAACAATCCCAGCAACGAGTGTTTATAGTGGACTTTGTGCATTAGTTTTTGGTCAGCCAGCGTAGAGCAGTTGAGTAGTGGGTATGAGTTGTAGGAAGTAGGAAATACTATCCTATGTCAAATATGACTGAAAAGGCTAAGGAAATGCTTATTTTCATCAGATGGCATATAATAGACTATTCCCAGATACAGGCATCAAAAGATACCTAAGTGTAAGTAAATTATCCGTGAGAGGTGTATAATTCTTGTTAGGAGCTGTACTGATCTCTCACATATCACTTATTCTTTTAGCATGATTTGGCATTAGTATTTGGAAACTATATTTAAGGAAAGTCTTTTTAGCTCACCGTGGCCAGGTGGTTAGTGGTTCAGCAGTCAGATGACCATGTACCTTTAGTTTAAGTTCTCAGCTTTGAGCATGTATGTGATTGATTTTTCAGAATTGTTCCCTGATTGAGGTGCTCTGAACTGAATTCTTTAAAATTGTAGCCCATCCCTAGATGCCTAGTGGTTGAAATGACAGGACAGGGATGTGGAATGACACTGCCCTCTAGTGGATGACTTTAAAAAATCTTTGTCTTTAGTGGTTCAGAAGCTTCCTTCTGACAGTATTCATTCATGCAATAAATATTCACTGGACACTTCTGTGAATGTCTACATAGGCATCGGTGTCTTGTGGCAAGTGTAATGAATGATCAACTGTTGTTAAGGAATTTTTTTTAAAGATTTATTTATGCATACAGGAACTGGGTTACAGGCTAGAGGTGTGGGGTGTAAGAGAATTCACCAGAGACAGAGTGGGGAACAAAACAGGCAGACTGACTGAAATACACTGCTGAGGGGAACAGTGGGCAAGTCAGGAAATGTCTGCTGCTCCATGTGAGTAGCTCCCTATCCGGCCGCTGAGGATCAAATGTGTGCTGCAGAGAGCTTCATAATGCTGTGCTTAACCCCTTGTACCACCAGGGAGGCCCTAGGAAACTTTTTTTTTTTTTTTTTAACAATATTTGCTTCACCCCACCCCCTCTGGCTGAGTCCCCTTAGAATTTCCTTCCCCAAGGTACCCATGCACCATCACCTCAGTCCCCTGTGCTCCTCCCTCCCTCCTTCTCATCCCTCTCCCTCCTCCTCCCCTGCAGTGTGTCTCTGATTCATAATTGTCTGTCTTTGCTTTGTTGTGTTTTGTACTGTTACTATTTTTTTTTACACTGATGTCTTATTTGGTTCCCTATATTCCCCTATATTCCTTTTATAAGTAAAACCATGTGATATTTTTCTTTCTCCTTCTGGCTTATTTCACTGAGCATAATTCTTTCTAGCTCCATTCACGTTGCTACAAAAGGCATGAGTTTATCTTTTTTGATTGCTGAAAATATTCCATTGTGTGTATATACCACATTTTCTTGATCCAGTCATCTATTTTTGGGCATTGGATTGTTTCCAGGTTTTACCTATTGCAATTAGTGCTGCAATAAACATAGGTGTACAGGTGTTCTTTTGAATCAATGTTTTTGTGTCCTTTTTATGTTATTTTTTAGTGAAGCACAGAATGATTGGTGGATTTCAGACTAGATTTAGTTTCTCAAGTAACAGGCATGGAAACTGTCTGGAATGGCCTGCCACATGGGTTGGGATCCTGGCTTATAATTCTGTTGAAGGCAGGGAGTCTAAGGGCATGGTGAATTTGTAATCAGGGCCCAAGAGAAGAAATGAATAAATGAAAATTCCACGCACTAATAAGGAAACATATTGGGAGATAAGATAGAAAATACCTGGAGTAACCTATTTAAAATAATATTATCAGTAAAGGCTTCTCTAAAGAAATAACTTTTGAATTGAGACCAGAAGGGTGAGAAGGAGTGAGTCAGGTGGTAGAAGCTACAACAGTGTACTTTAAGTTGTGGGTATATCATAAAATCTGAATTACTGGATCAAGAAATAGAGTGGAGTAAGCTAGAACACTATGAAAAATAGGAAAGCATATCACACTTAATTTTAACTGTATTTTAGATACATGTTATAATGCAAAAGGTATTTCTCACTGTGCACTGAAGTTAAAGAAATTGAATATTTATCGAGGGAAAGAGGTTCTTAGGCAGAAGGAATGCCAAATACAAAGTTTGATTGGTGAGAAAGAGCTTGCAGGGTCAGTGGACAGGAAGGAGCTTAGTGTGACTGGAGCAAAGTGAGAGTGCTTTAGGGTGGGATGAGAGGAGGTTGGAGGAGTGGGCAGGTCACATAGAATCTTGAAGATTATGATAGCAGCCAGGGGAAAGCACTGTGGGGGCAGAAAAATTGTCCCTTTTTCTCTTTGGGGTCTTTGGGTAGCCTAACAATTGAGTTCACATAAAATAGGTTAATAAGAATAAAAGCCCCAAATTTAATTTTACACACATAGGGTCCCCTAAAATATGAGCCCCCAGGGTACATTGGGCTATGGAAGTGTATATGTTTGTTGTCCTGAGCTTAGACTGGAATGGGTCTGTACTTGAAAGGGAAGGAAGGCAATTCATAGGACACAAGAAGAGCAGATGTCTCCCCTGCCATACAGAGGTCATTCAGATAAAAGGTTATCTCTGGTTATATCTCTTCTGGGCAGCTCCTTTAGCCAAATTCTTTGAGGCAGCTAAGGGAGAGGGTAAAGTTTTTCCTGAATCTGCTAGGACTTGATTGTCTCTTGTTCAGAACAATCCATTGTGGGGCCATCTATTCTGCTCCCCTTTATTGTTGAGGTGGGCACATCTGATTGTGGTTTTAAGAAAAGTGCAACCTTGTGATTTAAGGACAAGCAAGGGTTCTTGGAGGCAGATGGATCAGGATAGAAATCCCTATTCTGCCCTGTACTAGCTGTGTCAGGTTCCTTAATGTCAGCAGACTTCATTTCCTATAAATCAGAGGTAAATGAAGATTAAATAACTAAAATCAGTGAGACTAGACTAAGGTAATATATATACACCTATCAATATAGTGTCTGGCACAAAATTAGTGCTCAGCTAACCACAATCAGTTTTTGTCTTTGCCCTGTACTGTTGGATTTGTTTTAAAAAATCTTCACCAGAGACTTTTTTCAGCCTGCTGCTGAATGCTCTCCTTTGATAATGATGTGATTTTTCTCAAATTGCATCTTGTTTGTAGGCGGACAACCAAGTGGACCTGGTCCGGCAGCGTTTCTATGAAGTTTCCCTGGAATATGTCTTCAAGGTGCAAGAAGTGCAAGAGAGAAAAATGTTTGAGTTTGTGGAGCCTGTAAGTAAATGCTCAGTGTACACCCTGATTTCATCCTCATCCCCCCACCCCCGTTCCAACTACTGGTACATTTCAGAATGCTCTGAGTTGTTCATTAAGAGATGTGCCATCTGCCAGGTGTCAGTGCTTTGTGCACCTGACCTACCTGGCTTGGTCCCAGCAGACATTGCCCTAGAACCCCAGCCAGTAAGTCAGAGCCTTCAGCAATGGTTTCTTCCTCTTGCCAGCCTGTATGACTTCTGAAAGCGAATGAGAAGAGGAGTTTTCACCTTGCCAATCAATAGGGATTATACCTTAACTTCCCTCTTCCCTGTCCCCTCCATTCCTCTCTCCCTCAAAAAATCCAAATGTCGTAGTAACACAAGGAAATGGGGATATACATGACACCTCTCTCTTTTTGCCCCTTGAGTTCAAAGCTCCTCCTTACCCCATTCTTGCATTAAAAAGATACTTCAGAAAGTGATTTCTCACTATCCATTTATTATAACCAAGCAGCATGGAAAGTCCACTAAATGGACCATGCTGAGATTTGAACTTGGGCAGAGTCCCAGTGGATTGGGAAGGTTATAGTGCGGGAACAATTTTAACTTTAGTTTAGACTCCACTAGCCTGGTTTCATGCAAATGAGGTGCTGCCCCACCGTCTGTAACTCTCATGTTCAGAGGCCACAGTCATGAGAATCTGTGGAGATACCAAAAGAACATATGCTTCTCAAACATCTAACAGCCTGTCTGTTAGACATCTTACAGACCATGAATGTTTCAGTGAAAATGTAACCTCTGATTCATATTTAATCTTATATCTGTAAGTGTTGCTGGGTAACAAATAACCATAAAGCCTCACACAACAATACATTTAGTTCTCCCCCGTCTATGTTCTTTAGCCAATCTGTACAGACTGGGTTCAGTTGGACAACTCTCATTTAGGTGAACTTTCCTTCTTTTGCCTTCCTACTTTTCCCTTTCTTTCTTCATTTACTCTCTTTTTCTGTTTCTTTTTTAAGAGAAATCTACAAGGACTTATCCTTGAATATCCTGGTATTCTACTGTAGCATATGAGTATGATGAGGTTTTTGAGAGGCAATATAACATCACTGTTAAGTGCTCTAGAACACATGGCTTGGGTTTAAATCCCAACTCAGCTTTTTTCTTTTTTTCTTTTTTTTTAAAAGATTTATTTATTTATACAGGCACTAGGTATAGTCAGAAGCATGGGAGGGTAAGAGAATTCACCAGAGCCAGAGCGGGGAGCAGAATAGACAGACTGACGAAATACACTGCTGAGGGGAGCAGTGGGTGGGGCAGGAGAGGTCTGCGCGCCATTTGGGGCCCTTGCCGGCAGCCAGGGATCGAACCGGCGCTGCAGAGGCTACTGGCAGCTTCGCAGCCCAGCTGCTCACCCGGTGCACCACCAGGGAGGCCCTAACTCAGCGTTTTTCTAGCTGTTTGTTCTCAGGGAAATTATGTGTCACTGAGACTCAGTTTTCTCACCTGCAAAATAGGTATAATAATATTACCTACCTTACAAAGGCTTTAATGAGATTGAGTTTGTCCATATAAGATGCTCAGACAGTGCTAACGTAATTAGAACCCAATTATCATGTAATTGCTAATAATATAGTAAGAGAATTGTTATATAAGTGCTATTTATATTATAGCAATCTTATAATTGCTAACTCAACAATTATTTTTTATTCTGAGGTAGAGAAACATACCAGTTTTGACCACCCAGGGTCTCCTCAAATGAGCAAATGAGTCAAATGCCAATATTGACTAGCCTATATATTTTAATAATGTCTTGGTAGATCTAAAAGCATTCATTTCTGAATGTCATAGAAAATGCTGAAGACCCAGCTGCTGTATCTGAGGAGTTTGCAGCTTCACTGGAGAAGCAAGATACAGAAAGCAGTTCAATGCCAGGTTGGACACGAAAGATGATGTAGAAGTGCCAGAAGGGTCGACGGTATAGAAAACCATTGTGGTTTGCAGATGCTTTTCAGGCCAGGAAGGGAGGCACCTGGAGAATTAATGAATAAAATTTCCTGTCTATGTTAGAGTGAAGATACTGATAGGGACTTGCCCAAAGTGGAATTAAATGAATTCATTGGGAAACTAGGCATGGGAATTGTTGTTTAACCTTCAGTTTTTTATAAAAGCTCTTATTTTTGAGCAAACCAGCTTATCAGTGGTGATTTCAGGAGCTCTGGATAGAGAGAAGATAGTCATACAAGGAAAAAAAATCTACTGATTAGATCCCTATCATCTTGAAGTCTTAGAAATACAAATTCTAGATCCTAAATATAGGGGTGGGTCCCCATAATCTCTACTTTAGTAATTTCAATAGGTTATTCTGATACATATTCAATTTGAGAACTGGGATGTATTGTACAAAAGAAGATCATGATCTGGCAATTGGTGTTGCTGGAACTATGTCATATACTGTGCTAGCAATGAATTCTTCACCTACATTGTGTCATACAATCCTTACAACATCTCTCAGGGCAGATAACTGTTTTAGCTCTATTTTAAAATGAAGAAATGTGAGCACATTTATTTACTTTTCCAAGACCACATCTAGTAAATAGCAGAGCTGGAATAGATATCAGATCTCACTCTTGATATCTGTGAAATAGCATTTGATTGCTTACAGTTTGGAAAGGAGATTTAGCCAGCAAGAAATCTGCTGAATTAAGTTGTCTCAGGTACCTGATGTGGCGATTCAGATCTTGAGTTGGATACAGTCAAGGGAATCTTCCAGTCATTCAGGGAACCTCCAGGTACATTAACTTGTTCATTTGTTTCTTAGAAAGTAACTTCAAATACCAGAACATTGCTGACCTTCAATAAAGAAATGGAATTTTAGTGTTCCCAGGACAAACAGAATTCTGGGATCTAAATAATATATATTTTGTGTATGTCCTAGAAACCTTTATTTTCTTATTGAAGTACTTAATGTTCTCAAGATTTAAATTGCAGATAATGACTTACTGAATCTATGAAGGTGAAGCCATGTTCTGCCTGTTCCCTGAGTTTTCGTAATTGAAGGTTACCTAGTGCTACTCATTTTCCACTGTCAGGCTCTGCTTCCTCTGAGTGTCACCCCTTCAATATTTCTTGGTGTTGTCCCTTCCTGTCCTTTCTCATCACTTCTGCCCCCATTACAGATTTCTATTCTTTCCTGTGGTCTGTTGTATCCTGACCTGGGCTTCCCTTCTCCAGTCTGGCCTGGACTCTGTCACTACAGTGCATTTTCTGACATATCAGTTTGATTATGTTTCTTGCTGCATAGCTTCCCTCTGCTCTCCTGTGCTAAAAGCTCATTATATAGATGATCTTCATTAATCTGTACCACAACCCAGAGCAGTATTAAGTACTATTACTATCCTCCTGTTACAGATGAGTTGAAGGGATTTACCTGGCTTACCTAGCCCATCTTTTCATCACTTTCCTGGCTGCCCCTCCCTTTGTTGTATGGATGAGTGATTCTTGGGAGCCATTTTCATTTGCTGGAGCAGCTATAATAAAGCACCACAAATTGGTTGTCTCAGAACAACAGAAATTTATTGCCTGATAATTCTAGAGACCAGAGGCCTAAGACTGAGGTATCGCCAGGGCCATATTCCCTCTGAAAACTGGCAAGAGGGCCTCCCTGGTGGTGCAGCGGTTGAGCGCTGGGTTGTGAAGCTGCCCGCAACTTCTGCAGCACCAGTTTGATCCCTGGCCACCGGGCGAGCATCCCACATGGCGCGCAGACCTCTCCTGCCGCCCGCTGCTCCCCTCAGCAGTGTATTTTGTCAGTCTGTCTGTTCTGCTCTCTGCTCTGGCTCTGGTGAATTCTCTCACCTTCCTGCGGTTCTGACTGTACCCAGTGCTCGCATAAATAAATAAATAAATCCTAAAAATAAGTAAGTAAATAAATAAATAAATAGATAAATGCTTTCTCTAAAAAAAAAAAAAATTGAAAACTGGCAAGAAATTACCTTTCCTTTTTTTCTTTCTAGCATCTTGTGGCAGTATTTATCAGTCCTTCCTTTATAGAGGTATCACTTCAATCCTCTCTCTTCATATGGTTGTTTCCCCTGTGTGTTTCTATCTCCATGTCCAAATTTCCCCTTTTTATAAGGTTCCCAGTCATTTTAGATAGGACCTAATGGCCTCATTTTTACTTGATTACCTCTATTATCTGTAAAACCCTATTTCCAAATAAAACTGAGATACTAAGGGGTTAGGACAGTACTCACACTTTTGATGGAGACACAATTATATTTACAATTTCATTTTTGCTTGTTTTTTTGTTTTATAAATTGTATCTGTGTTGTCAACAAGGAAATAAGAATAGATTTTTCTTACAGTTATTCTTTGAGGGGGAAACAAGGGTGGAGAAGAAGGCAAAGTAAGGTAGGGGAAGACTTTCCTTAGGTATTTCCTTTGTTGTGTAGTGATTTTATGTCCTGGCTGCTTAGAGCAGAGCCTGGGTGGACATACTGACTTCTCTTATCTGATAACCAGATGAGGCTACAGCAACTTCTTCCTCTGTGTTTGAATAGAAGACAAAGAACACTGTTGTTTGAGGTAGACAGATCCTACCATCTCTGGAGTCCTTCTGGGCCTCTCTCTTCTCCCTTGGGAGTCAACTTTCAATTCCCACTGGTGATAAGTTCAGAGGTTCATAAAGTGATAGGGGATGTCAGAAGGGGCATGGGGAGATAAACTGCTGGAGGGCAGGAGGAAGGGAAATGGGCCAAAGATAGCAATAGCTAAGGCATTATTTCCCATAGAAAAATAGACAATCAGGCATGATACCAAAGAGAGGGAAAACCAAAATTGAATACTATACTATTAGTAACTGTCTGTGCAGAGTCTTAGTGAGCCATCTAAGGGTATTTAATTACCCTGAGCAAGAGAGGTCTTGCTCACTTTAAGTGAAAGATAAATCAGAGTTAATGGGAGGGATGGCCTCAGAATTAGCTGCTGTATCTTCTTTGTTATTTTCCAGTAGGGGATGGTTCAATGCTTTGGAGAAGTGATGGGGTACAGCATTCAAGGATAGAACGGGGATGGGGACAGATAAGAAAGATTAATTTTCTTTGTAATCACTGACATTAGGTTTGGCAAAGGAATTTTCCTCTATTACTGGAGGTACCTAGAAGAAAATGTATTTGACTTCCTTGTAAACATAAATTTTATGTAGTTTGTAAACTACATTTTATTTACCAAATTCAAAGACTTTGGTCATCTTTAAAGAAAAGAGTTCATTATTAGTCTTTGGTGCCTCTCTGTGGCTTACCATCATCAGTCATTGATTTAATTTAGGGATCTGTATAGGAGACAACTCTGTTTTTATAGCCAGAGACTCAGCAAGCCCACACACCCCTTTCCCATGAGGATCTAAGAGGATAGATACCCCAGGGACAACGGCAGTGGGAAGTCAAGTTCACATTATTAAAAGATGGATTTTGTCTGACTTCCCAATGTAGAGCTCTTGGAAACTGGCTTAGCCCAAAGATAGGTCTCTTCTTTGAGCTCAAGGAGGGTGGCACGTATCTTGAGGCAAACCATCCCTGCCACTAGCAAGGTGGGAGAGCAGTGAGGGGTGAGATGAATTCACTTTGCCACAATTGTTAGCGCTAACTCTTAGAAAAAGAGAGTTAAGTGAAAATAAGCAAAACTGCTTAGTAAAGGTATGGTCATTTAGAAACTGAAAAACTAAACATAATAACATATAAAAAAAAGCATCTGTGTTTTCATGTAATATGTGGTAGAAGCAGATCAGGAGGTCAGAGTAGAACACTCAGGAAATGTCAGTGGGCATAGAGAGAGGTTCAAATTAAAACAGGATGGTCCCCAGATGTGGTCAGATTTGAAAACCATGGTCACACTTTGATTAAAATTCTTTCTTCAGGTTAAGATTGAGAACTGAGGCAAGATATATCATATTGGGAAGGGATCATGAAAGTATAACAGTGAAGTTTGCATATAGGCTTGGAGAAGAAAGACCCAGAGAATGTTTATTTAGCCTGGAAAAGTGCAGGGTCTCAGGGTGGGGCCAGTAATAGTTTTTAAGTATATTGAGGCAACTTGTGAGAAAGGCATGAAAAGATAGTCTCCCTCCAGTAAAGAGTGAACAATGAATGCGCCTACTTTTAGCCCAAAGAAATTGAAATGAGAATCTAGGGAAATCATTGTAACTGAAAGTATGGGTACATGGGAATCTTTTAATAAACGGATCCATAGTGTTTACTTGTGGATGGTTTAGGGAAATGCAGAAATATATTTTAGCTGAAGTCTGATCTTGATGATTCTCTTTGACTTGACTTTCCTGTTAGACTATAGGCTAAAGACATCCCATTTTCCTTTTCTCTCTTCCTTGTTGGTCATTAATATAACTAAGTCATTCTACATGATAACCTGGTTCTATAAATGTATTAGAATGAGACTGAGTTGGATCCCCTGGTCTTTAGTTTCTGAAGAAATGATTTTCTTAGGGGGTATTGGGACTCACAGGGTAAGATCTGGATGTTGGTGCTGAGGGTACCTAGTTTTCAGTGTGGCTGCCATTTATTCTGTGTTTTGGGGCAGTTACTTCTCTGAATCTGCTTCCTCATCATTAAAATGGAGATAACAGGAGTACTTACCTCATAGGCTATGAGTATTCACTGAGACAGGGCATGGAAAGTTACAGGGCCTGGCATGCAAGTAGTTTTTATTACTTTATTTGCTAGACTTTCAAACCAGGGCTGGGAACTCAGATACAGCTATATAATCCATCTTTAGCTTGCTTATGTAGCTCTGTCCTTCTTCCTTCACTGCAGCTACTGGCATTTTTGCAAGGACTCTTCACTTTCTATCACCATGGTTATGAACTGGCCAAGGACTTCGGTGACTTCAAGACACAGTTGACAATTAGCATACAGAATGTGAGTAAAAAGATAAATTTCTTTACCCTGGAAAGGAAAGAACAACAAAATATGGGTCTGCCAGCATAGATATCACTTATTTGGATTAAAGTGAGTAAAGAGGATGGGTTTCGCTTGGGTTCATAGGGCAGTTGGGACTTGGTGGCCCCTGGTCAGAGTACCCTCCTCTTCTCCATTATTTCAAAGCAATATTTTTGTTCTCAGAAGTGCTGCTGCTACTGTTTTGAATCTTTAGCACCAGGGTCAGGATTTCCTTTAACCGTGGAAAGCCTGCCCAACCCAGCCTCCCTTTTGGGCCTCTAGGTGCCTGGCCACACAGGACCTTGGAATGTGTGTTGGGGAAAGGCACACATGTGACCTCTAGCTCAAACGATATGTCTTAGTTCAGTTCTTGGTGAGGCTAAGAGGAAATCCAAGTCAGTGTGATTTACTTCCAGTCTCCTTTCCTAAATTTTTTTAAAAAAAGATTTATTTATTTATTTATTTATACAAGCACTGGGTGTAGTCAGAAGCGCAGGAGGGTGAGAGAATTCACCAGAGTAAGAGCGGGGAGCAGAACAGGCAGACTGATGAAATACACTACTGAGGGGAGCAGTGGGCGGCAGGAGAGGTCTGTGCGCCATGTGGGACCCTCACGCGGCCAAGGATCGAACTGGCACTGCAGAGGCTGTGGGCAGCTTCGCAGCCCAGTGCTCAACCACTGCGCCAATGGGCAGGCCCTCCTTACCTAAATTTTAAACAGCAGGACCTTTCAACACTCAGAATCATGTTTAGGGCTCTTGGTTATGGTTACATCTTCATCGTGTTCCTGGGTGTGTTCATCGGCAAGTTGTCTTTGTCTCTGGATGAAACCCAGGAAAGAAACCCTTGTGGCCTTTTGGGTGGTTGTGTGTTTTTTCAGAAGCCGGCACTTGCCCCCACATCGTTCTTTGTGTCCTCTTAGAGAGCAGAAGTTGTAAAGTGTCAGAACAGAGATCATAAAGCCTGATCTCCTCTGAGGCTGAGTCTGAAGTAGTGAGTCACATGGTGTAGGTGACAGGGGAGTGTCACCTGTGTGACAACTTCGGGGCAGCAGGCCCCTGTCAGCGAGAGGCTGGGTTGTGGTAGGTGTGACACAGGCCTTAGACAGTACTCCCCCAGATTTCAGGCCCTGAGCTGGGAAGGGCTTTCAGAGCAGCCTGAATAGAAATCAGGGGGCAGGCTTTTGACCTCTTCCCTTTGCCACAGGCATGACTAGGCATTGGCTGCAGGCTACCTTGGGGAAGCGGGAAATCTTGAGTGAAGCAGCTCCTTTTTGAGGAGGGAATCATCTATGAGCCATCAGTAACATTCTCTGCAGCCAGAGAAATGAGCTCTCAGTCTGGAAAGGAGGGGGGTGGTATATCTGTGGACCATCTGAATCAGAAGCACCTGAGATGCTTGTTTTAATGCTCATTTCTGGGTCCAGAATTAATCTTTAGGGATGAGGCCTGGGCATTTGTGTTTTCTACAAATTCTCCAGGTACTTTGTTTGGTCTCTAGAGTTGGAGAGCCCCTGGACTCTAGGACTTTAAGGCCAAAGTCCTTAAAGTACTTCTGAAAGTGAGTATATGCTAATTCCTAGATAGCTAAGTGTTTCTTACTTGTGTTTGATAAGAAATCTATAGGTTGTGATGTTCTGAATTGTGTTAGAGATGGGAACAGGATTTCATTTCTTTATTTGAATAACATTCCCTTTACCCTAGACAAGAAATCGCTTTGAAGGCACCAGGTCAGAAGTGGAATCACTAATGAAGAAGATGAAGGAGAATCCACTGGAGCATAAGACCATCAGTCCTTACACCATGGAAGGGTACCTGTACGTTCAGGAGAAACGTGAGTGTCTGTGAGGATGCACAGCTTGGGATGCACTTTTGCCTTTTGCCCTTGGCGGGGGCAGATGCAATAATGCCCAGCCTACAGTGGTATAAATACAGGGTTGGGTGAGTGAGTATTTCATAAGTGATACATTCTGTTTTATTTGTAACCTGGAATTCTTTTGGAAAGTTGGAATTCCTTGAGGCTCTTTGGTGATCCTTCTCTCCCTGGAGAGTCACTTTATTCTGGAGCTTCCTGTACCTTAGTTATGTAAGCATCCATACCTTGGGCAAAGGGCCCTGGGAAAGGATTTCTTCTTCTAGATTTTCTTGTCTCCCTGCAGTTATATCCTTGGTGGACTTAATAGCAAGTAATTTTATTTTCATTTGAGACTTGCTTCAACAAAGTCCAAAACAATCATGACTGAGGCACCCTTCTCCTCAACTCCTGCCTTCTTAGCTCTTAAATTTTATGTATGAAAAGTAGAAACTAAGACTCTTTATTTCATTCTCCTCCAATGTGATCTCAAGGAAAGAAATGCCAGGGGTTTGTTGCTAACCAGGAGTTTTTGGTAAATACTTAGAAATTCATGCGCTCAGGCTTTGGGGCTGTGTTGCTGGGGAAGCACTTCCAGACTTAATTCATGCTTGCAGTGCCAGGGATAAAAAAAAAAAGTGAATTTCTTCCTTTACTTGGTAGTTCTTGTAGTCTGTCACTCCTGCAAATTACTCCTCTCAGATTTTTGCAGATTTCCTGCCCTTTCATGTCCTGTTAGGTTAGGCAAATGCCTTAACTCTTCCAGTTTCCTGATAGAATAGAATTAGAACTCTTGGTTTCAGTGATTGTTCCAACTAGTGATTACTCAAAAAATTTTTGGGACTTTAAATTGTTTCCTGACAATGGTGGTAGGATCAGAGAGTGAAGGCATCAGTTATGATGAGGATTTTCTATTCCTTATTCTTAGAGGGATGAGTCTTTGAGGTTTGTAAGAAATGGAAGTTACTTGAGTTGTGTATTTCATGTGCACTGGATTATTTGCTCATGTATACTTCCACCTTTGCTCACTGAAAAGACCTACCCCTGAGTTTTAACTTGATAATACACATATTTATTAGGATCATAAAAATATAGTTCATTGTCCACTTATAATACTTAATTTATCCATATGTTCACTTACCTATATGAAATCAGTGTTGCTCTTTTTCATGCTCACATTACAATGACAATTTTACTCAGACACTTCCTGTGCTCTTAGAACATTACTGTCTTGATTATTAGAAACATGTTTGCATTCTCTAACACTTAGTCCAGAGCACATCATTGGGTTACAGCTCTTTTGTTTGTTTGCCAGTTTTTCTAACTTACTGTTTTGAAATAATTCCAAACTTACAGAGACTTGCAAAAATAGTGTAAAGAATACCCATATGAGCTTTACCCAGATTCATGAACTTGTAACATTTCCCCAGTCTAATCATTCTTTTTCTGGGTGTAAGTGCACATCACAGTTACAACTTATACATTTTTATTTTTCTGAACCATTTGGGAACAAGTGGCTTCTATGATGATCATTTAAGTCAGCATACATTTTCTAAATACAGGGATATCTTTTGTAGCCATAGTGCAGTCACACATAGAAGACATTAGCAATGATACGGTCATCTTATGGTCTATATGCAGATTGTGGCAGTTATTCCACTCGCGTACTTATAAAGCATTTTGTTTTCCTCCAATAAAGGCTCTTATGTTGCAGTTAGTTGTTATGACTTTAGTCTCCTTTGATCTGGAAGAGATCCTCAGCCTTTCTTGGCATTTTTTGACATTGATGTTTTTGAAGAATGTAAACTAGTTCTTTTTATAGGATTTTCTTTAGTGTGGGTTTGGCTGATGTTTCCTCACGATTAGAGTCAGGTTATGTATCTGCAGTCAAATCCCACACAAAGTGATGTGTGTCTTTCTTCAGGTACCTCACCCAGAGGCACAGGTTGGCCACCTGATCCTCAGTGGTGATGTTAATTTTGATCACTCAGTCAAGGTGTTAAACTAGTTTCTCCACTGTATAGTCATTATTTTTCTCTTGTAACTAATTAGCAATCTGTAGGAATGCACCTTAAGACCACGTGCTTCTCCTCATCAAACTTTGTTTCCCAGTATTTAGTATCTGTTGGCAAATCCTGGCCTGAATTTATCTTTAGTATGAAGGTTGCAAAGCAGTGATTTTTTTTCAGCTCTCCCACTCCCTCCATATGTATTGCCAGTCAGTGAATTGTAGCAAGCTACTTCCCTTCTCCTCTTCTTGTCTTTTTTCTTCCTTCCTAGCTTCCTTCCTTCCTCTATTCCTCCTCTCCTCCCTGCTTATTCATTCACCTTTCCTCCCCCACTTCCTTCCTCCATCCATTTTTCTGTTGTCAGTGTGGACTTAATGGATTTTCTTTTTTTTTCAATAGGCTAAATCCATTGCCATCCTTATTTGTTTTGGTGCTCACATTGCACAAGATACAGTTCTTTTTTTTTTTTTTTTTTTTTAAGATTTATTTACTTAGGCATACAGGAGCTGGAGTACAGGCCAGAGATGCAGGGGGTGAGAGGATCCACCAGAGACAGAGTGGGGAACAGAACAGGCAGACTGACCAAAAACACACTGCTGAGGGGAGCACCTCGCCATGTGGGTTTCTCCCTGGCCAGCCAGGGATCGAACTTGTGCTGCAGAGGCTGCAGATTGCTTCATAGTATGGTGCCCGACCCCTTGCGCCACCAGGGAGGCCAAGATACAGTTCTTTTGGATTCTTTTATGTTATTGGATTTTTTTTCTCCAAGCCTTGAAGATGCATTAGAATCGTTGGCATTTTATTTGTGCTCGATGATCCACAGTAGACTCTTGCTTTTTAAATTTACCAAGCGATGTCTAACACTTAGCAGTGGTAGTCATAGTTTGAAAAATAATTACTAAAAGTCTGCTAAATCTCCTTTCATTTTTTTTTGTTTCTATTTCTGCTATGTAATCTTATCTACAAGCATCTAAGACTAGTATTGATTGAGATCCTACATGCTAATGGTGCCTTTTTCCTCTGACTACTTTGTTGTTCAAAATATTGTAATTGGCCAAGTTCCAGGTAAAATCAGGGACTTTGTCAGTGTTTGCCCATAGGGCCACTCCCTCTTTGCTGAGGAATAATTTTGGAGGATGAACTAATTAGATTACATTTGGGTGTGTACATTCACTTCCATTTCATCTCTCTGGTGGTTCTGAGTTTTCCTTGATTGTGTTTCAGATCCACATAAGTTTTGCCTTAAGTAAAATTTGAGGGGTCAGAAGGAGGTCAGAACCCCTGGGTGACTGTACACAGACCCACTCAGCAGCTGTGAGGAAGTATCTAGTCATTGCACCAGATGGGAAGAGTGACAAGCACATTGAGGGACCTGTCTGTATTCTCTCAACCATCTTACTCCTATCAGGGGGCAGAAAGAGACCTTCACATGGAGACTGATGATGGGAAAGTGAATTAATTTCCCCAGGGAACCTCTACTTCCCTTATGTTTTAAAACCCACTGGATGCAGCATTTAGTGGGAAACTGTCTTCCTTGGTCCCTGGGGAAAGTCTTGGGTCGGTTCCATTTCCAGTCTGTGGGATCAGATTTCTGCCTATTCCAGTCTAGCTGGTTTGGAGAATGTATTACTCCTAGATACAGTTTAAGAGTATGTAAACATTGTGGGTTATGGGTTGTGTGTTTTTCTTCATTTAGTGGTCATGTAGAGATGTTTTATTGGAAATATTACCTTGCAGGTCACTTTGGAACTTCTTGGGTGAAGCACTACTGTACATATCAGCGGGATTCCAAGCAAATCACCATGGTACCATTTGACCAAAAGTCAGGAGGAAAGGGGGTGAGTTCGTTTCTCAAACTTAATGCTTTATTTGCTTGACTAGAATGTAATAATTATAATACATATGTAAAATAGACCTCTGATGTGTCACTATAGTTTTCTTAATTTTTATACAAAATTTTCAGTTTGAGTAGTACCCTTAAAAGTCACAAAACAAGAGGATTGTTCTTATTTTTAATATTAGAAACTGCAAACAAGAAAGATCTTTATATTTCATGTGTGTGTGTATATATATATATATATATATATGCACACATACACACATGTATATAATATTGAGTCTATTAAATGTTAGAATGCTAGATGTTCTTAGACACTAGACATTCTTGGATGGTATCCTATGGACTGATTCATTTCACTTCCATATGACGTGTGGTGGGCTACCAATTTGCAGTGTAGATGGTCCAGTACATGACCATTTAGTGGTCATGTAGAGATGTTTTACTTTATTTCTGTGCCACAGATAACCCCAAAAAATAGTGACTTTAAAAAAAAATGAGGGCGGGAAGAGCACAAGGGACTATGGTGATGGTGAACTGATGGTGGAAATTCTATGGGGACTACATCTGAGAAAAGAAAGCAAACATTGTAAAAAAAATGAACAATGATGTAAAAAATATATAAATAAATTATATATTTAAAAAACAAACAAAAAAAACACCACCAGTCATTTTAACATTTTTCATAGTTTCTGAGGGTTAGGATTTTAGCAAGCATTTGCACTGGTGGCCCTGGACTTGGGTTTCACATGCGGTTCTAATCAGAAGGTAATTAGAACTGAAACAGTGAATGTCTGAAGCAGCTTGTAGATGGTCAGATACTCATTTCTCTCTATCTCCTGACCCTCTCTTTTCCCTAGAAAAGATTCCTTTAGAGTCTTGGGATCTGCCCATCTTGTTTCTCTACACAGGTTAGCTTGGGCTTCCTCACAGCATGGTGGCCTCAGGGCAGCTAAAATTTCAAAAGTGAATATTCCAGTGACTAAAGCAGATGTGGCATCTCTTTAACCATCTGGCCATAGAAGTCATAGAGCCTTTCTTTTGTGGTATCTGTTGATTAAAACAGTCCCAAAAGCCCACCTGAGGCCACCACATTGCAGCAGGAGAAATGCTGACCATACTCCATGAGAGGAGCATGAGAGTCACACATATGAAGAGTGTGTGGGACAGTGTGTCCTTGTGTCTGACTCTGGAAGAGCTACATCAGGCTCGCCAGGGTTCCTGCAGTGAGAGCTCCGTGCTGTGCTGCCATGGTTCTCCTCTCCTCTGGGCACACTCACTGCAGACTGAATGCCTTTCCTTTTTAGGTGATCTGTCTTTCTCTCTGGCTGCTCTTAATTCATTTTTTTTTTTTTTTAATTTGGTATTCTACTTTTCATTATGATGGTCCTAAGTGTGAATTTTCCCCCCAGTGTATTTGTATTGTGCTTTGGAATATTTGGTCTTCCTGAATTTGGATTGGTGCTTTTCAGAAACTTTGGAAAATTCTTACTGATTATCACTTTGAATTTTGCCCCCTCTCCCTTCTTTCTTTATTTCCATTTAAATAATAAATAAATATTTTTAGCAAAAATAATTACATTTTTCATGTCTTGAATCTCTGGACTGCATTCTAGATTATTTCTCTGGTTCTATTTTTCAGCTATGTCTAATTTGTTGATATCGTCTCCAAGAATTCCAGCCTTCTGTGACACATTTTTGTGCAATGTGCTGGGTTTGCCTGTGAGAGGTTATTGCAGTACAGAGGCTAAGCACGCAGCACTTGAAATCAGCCTTCCCCGGGTGATGGTGTTACATGCTGTTGTCCCTGCTGTTGGCTCCTCAGCCTGTGCTGCCCTCTTTGCTCTGTATGACTTCCAGTTTTTCTGCCTCTATTTCTTTGACTTAGTCTACAAACACCGGAGTTTGTCAGCATGCCTTTTCCTTCTCTGCTTCAAAGCAAAAATTTTTAAGCCCCAACATTCTTTTAATGTTTCTGCTTGGGGCAGAACAATCTCAGGAAAACAGGCATGGTAAAATGTCAAAATATAGAGACATTAGAGAGTTGGAAGAAATATCAGGAATCTATGTTAACGGGTGTAGTTGCAAAATGGAAACAGTTAGGCCTGCTTCTTTTGGGTCAAAGCATCATCCTTTCCAACCCTTCATCCTTCTAGAATCAGTTTCATTGAGTAATTCTCTTAGATGGTCTTTATTTTGGGCCTTTTTATCTTATGCTTTCTTAAACCTTTAAAGAACAACTCTCTTATGTTTTCTTTTTCTTTTTTTTTAACACAGTCAGATTTATTCTTTCTTAAAGTTAGCCAGCATCCTGTAAGTTGCACTTTAATCTTTTTTTCTGTTTTTTTTTAATTTATTTTATATATTTTTTTACATCATTTTTCATTTTTGCACAATGTGTGCATTTTCATCTTGGTTATAGTTCCTGTACAATTCCCATCCCCCTTATTTTGACTGTAATCCTTCCTACCCACCTTCTGCCACCGTAGTGTGTCTCTGGTTTATAGTTGCTTGTTGATTTTGATTTTTACTTTATTATAATTGGTCTTTTTCCTGGTCCCTTATTCAGGTTTTCTAGATTCCTGCTATGAGTGAGACCATCCGGTATTTTTCTTTTTCTTTCTGGCTTATTTTGCTGAGCATGATCCCTTCCAGCGCCATCCATGTTGCTGCAAATTGCATGAGTTTATCTTTTTTTGATTGCTGAGTAATATTCCATTGTGTATATGTACCACATCTTCTTGATCCAGTCATCTATTTTTGGGCATTTGGGTTGTTTCCATAGCTTAGCTATTGTAAATATGCTGCTATAAACATAGGAGTGCAGGTGCCCTTTTGAATAATAATTCCTTAGTTTTTTTTTTTAATATGTGCCATTCTCACTGGTGTAAGATGGTATCTCATTGTAGTTTTGATTTGCATTTCCCTGATTACAAGTGATGCTGAACATTTTTTCATATGCCTGTTGGTCATTTGCATTTCCTTTTTGGAGATGTTCCTTTTTAGCTCTTTTGCCCATTTTTTGAATGGGTTATTTATTTTGTTTTTGTTGAGTCTCATCAGTTCTTTGTAGATTTTTGTGATCAGTGCTTTGTCATTAGTGTTATGTGCAAAAATTCTCTCCCAGTCGGTGGGGTGTCTCTTTGTTTTGGTAATTGTCTCTTTTGCTGTACAGAAGCACTTTAATTTGATGTAGTCCCAGCTGTTTATCTTTGCCTTCACTATCACTGCTTTGGGTGATGAGTTTTTAAGGACGTTACTGAGGTATATGTCATGTAGTGTTTCACCTATATTTCCTTCTATATATTTTATGGTTTCAGGTCTTATGTCTAGCTCTTTAATCCATTTTGAGTTGGTTTTTGTGCATGGTATGAAGTAGTAGTCAAGTTTCATTCTTTTGCATGTAGCGACCCAGTTTTCCCAGCACCATTTATTGAACAAACTTTCTTTGCTCCATTGCATATTCTTTGCTCCTTTGTCAAAGATTAGTTGACTGTAAATCTGTGGGTTTATTTCTGGATTTTCTATTTGGTTCCGTTGATCCGTGTATCTGTTTTTGGTCCAATACCATGCAATTTGGATTATTATGGCTTTGTAGTGTAGTTTGAATTCTGGGCGTGTGATACCTCCATTCTGTTCTTTTTTTTTTTCAGGAGAGTTTTGGCTATTCAGGGTTTTTGGTGGCTCCATATGAATTTCATTAATATTTGTTCTATTTCTTTGAAGAATGTCATTGAAATTTTTATTGGAATAGCATTGAATCTGTAAATTGCTTTTGGTAGGATGGCCTTTTGATAATGTTAATTCTTCAGATCCATGAGCTGGGGATGTCTTTCCATTTCTTTGTGTCTTCTATTTCTTTTAACAGTGTTTTATAGTTTTCTTTGTATAGGTCTTTTACCTCTTTTGTTAGATTTATTCCCGAGTATTTGATTTTTTTTGTTTCAATAATAAAAGGGATGGTTTTCTTGATTTCTTCTTCTTCAGATTTATTGTTTGTGTATTGCCGGTCCTGCCTGCAGGCCGACGGGGTTCAGGAACACGGTGGAGGGGCTGGGGATGAAGCGTGCACTCTCTTGGCTGGAAGCAGGAACTCTCTCTATTCTAGGGGAGGGGCTATCTCTCCGAAAGCCTGCGCATGCGCTTTACGTGGATTTGCAAAAACCTGTTACTGTTGCATCAGCCTCCGCTTTGGGCTGAAGCGACTCATCCTTGGGCGGAAGCGACCACCACCCCAGTTCCCCCTGCTGGTGTAAGCCTGGTACTGACAGTGTATAGGAAGGCTACTGATTTTTGTGTCTTGATTTTGTATCCTGCTACTTTACTGAACTGATTGATATGATTAGTTTTTCTGTGGAGTTTTTGGGGTTCTCTATGTCTATTATCATATCATCTGCGAATAGTGATAGTTTGACTTCTTCCTTCCCTATTTGGATTCCTTGTATGTCTTTCTCTTGTCTTATTGCTCTGGCTAGGACTTCCAGTATTATATTGAAAAGCAGTGGTGAGAGTGGACAGCCTTGTTCCAGATCTTAATGGAAATGCTTTCAATTTTTCACCACTGAGAATGATATTGGCTATGAGGCTGTCATATATGGCCTTTATAATGTTGAGGTATGTTCCTTGTATCCCAAGAATTAGTTTAATTCCAAGGGTGTGTGTCTTGAGGTCCCATATACTGCCCTGGAGGTGGGGTGGCTGGATCGCCTGCTGAGCTCCAAATCACTGGATCTCCCCCTGGGTTCCAACTCCCTCCCAGGCGGGGCCTGGCTTGTGGGGGTCTTCACCTCACCTCTGGGTGTGGGGGCCAGCCCTTCCCCAATTCCACACAGTCTTGGTGGGTTCTGGAGGCTAAGATCCCTATTCTAAAATGGCAAGTCAGAAGGGCACTTCCCTGTACCTGTAGAGATAGTGGTAGACACCTCGTTGGATTGTGAAGAGGTTTATATGATTTAGTTTATAAAAAGTTCCAGGGTCAGAGGGCCTCCCTGGTGGCACAGCGGTTGAGCGCTGGGCTGCGAAGCTGCCTGCAGCCTCTGCAGCACCGGTTGGATCCCCGGCCACCGGTGAGGGTCCCACATGGTGTGCAGACCTCTCCTGCCGCCTACTGCTCCCCCCCAGCAGTGTACTTCGTCTGTCTGCCTGTTCTGTTCCCCGCTCTGGCTCTGGTGAATTCTCTTACCCTCCTGCGCTTCTGACTGTACCCAGTGCTTGTATAAATAAATAAATAAATCTTTAAAAAAAAAAAGAAAAGTTCCAGGTTCAGAACCTGACACCTAACGAGGACTGTATGAGTTTGATATAATGATAATTTTCACATTTATATCATACTTTATATTTTTCTAATTCCTTTTCCTTCCCTATTTTATCCTTTTTGATAGTTTTCTTCCTTACAAAAGGAAGAAACTGAAGTTCAGCAAGAGAAAATAATTTTTTTTTTTTTAAATTTAGATTTATTTATTTATTTATATAAGCACTGGGTACAGTCAGAAGCGTGGGAGGGTGAGAGAATTCACCAGAGCCAGAGGGGAGAGCAGAGCAGGCAGACTGACGAAATACACTGCGGGCGGCAGGAGAGGTCTGTGTGTCATGTGGGACCCTCGCCCGGTGGCTGGGGATCGAACCGGCACTGCAGAGGCTGCGGGCAGCTTCACAACCCAACCTTCAACCGCTACGCCACCAGGGAGGCCCACAAGAAAATAATTTCTAAGGCCATGAAACTCATGAGTTCCAGAGCCAGTAATCAAACCTTGATTCTGGAGTCTTCCATTTCCTGAATCTGCAGCTAATGATAATAATAACAACAACAACAACAATAACAACAATAAAAAACAATATATAATGGTAATCTATAGATGAATAATTTTCCATGACATCACTCTGCTTTGTCAGCTTTAGGGTGGAGAAAAGATGATGACTTGTGTCTGGGGGTGACACCTTCTCAATTTATAGGAAAGAATCCTGAGCAGCCTTTGTATTCATGTTTGTTCAAAGTGCTCCTAGGAGCTGGAGGTAGATTGAGCATAGATAGTAGGGTGTTTTCTTTGCCTGACATACTTTTCCTCTACCTTTCTCCCCTTCCACTGTCTTCTTTCATTTATTTTTCTTTATTTTTTTAAAAGATTTATTTATTTATGCATACAAGAACTGTGGTACAGGCCAGAGGTATAGGAGGTGAGAAGATTCACCAGAGACAGAGTGGGGAACAGAACAGGCAGAGTGACTGAAATACACTGCTGACGGGAGCAGCGGGTGAGACAGGAGAGGTCTGCTGCACCATGTGGGTAGCTCCCTGGCTGGGGATCGAACTCATGCTGCAGTGGCTGCAGATAGCTTCATAGGTTGTGTCTTAACCCCTTGCGCCACAAGGAGGCCCTCATTTATTTTTCTTTAAAAGTACCTGCTCTGAGTAGGTATGAATTATTCTCCAAAATCATATACAATGTTGTAAACCGCATGTTATTTCAAAAACAATAAATAAACAGGTATGATGAAAATAGATAAATAAAATACAAATGAATATTCAGATTCCAGAATTCTTTAAAAAAAAAAAAAATAAAGCACCTGTGTTGGAGGAGATGTGAGCACGTCTGCTTCATTTTGTTGGAGACCAGACCCTGTGTGTGGAGTAAATGAATCCCCTCTGCGATGTGGCACCTCTCTGCTGTAGGTCTGGAGAGATCCAGTGCTGACCCTGTGCTTTCCCTTGTTTGAAACCCTTCACTATTCTTACAAACCATGCTCTGCATAATCTGACCTCTACCTCCCTCAAACTCTCTCTCATTCCACTCTGCTGTTGCATTTGGGATTCAAGCCACACTGCCTTCCCTTCAGTTTCCACAGGGCTCCACGGACCCTGGCCACAGGGTCATCATAGCTCCTCTTTTCCTCCCGATCTGATCCTGCTCCCCTGGACTTACCTCCTATGGATATTCCAAGTCCCAGCCCAAGAAAGCCTTTGCTGACTTCTTAAGCAGGTCAAAACCCCTTAATTTGGCTTTTGTAGCACAACTAGCCTCTTTTTTGATAGTATTTGTCACTGTTGTTGCTTTTTATTTATTTAAGTGATTGCTTTTTAAAGTAGTTAAACAGTAGTTAAACAGATCATCTTTATTCATTTCCCCTGATAGAATATGGTTGTCCTTGGAACAGAATCTTATCTTTCTCTTTTCTCTGCTTACATGTGGAAATCTTTTATAGCTTCCCTATTCTCTCCAACTTTGCAGGGACACCTACCATAAACTTGCAAAGTGGAAACTGGTTCTTGGGCCATTAAATCAGAAATAGATGTCAACGTGGTCAGAATCACATATATTTGGGTGTTTACATTCATACATTTACACACTAAAGAAAGAGCAGCTTTCAATCTGAGAAACTAATCTTAGCTATTCAGTAAAAGACAATAGGCACAAGGCTTGTGAATATAAACTCTCTCTTCCTAGGTCTTCTGTCTTTTGTGTGCTAGTCTGATATTAGTGGGTGGTTAAGGTTTACCTTACGCCCATCTCATTTCCTATTATTTCAACAAACTAGACAAGTTTGCAGATTTCCCTTCTAATTTGGAAAAAAAAATTGGCAGGAACCTTAACAAATTCCTACATGACCAAAAGGAGAAATCAAGGACAGAAACCCTTATGTTTCTAGGCTGTAAATTGCCATCCTGTTTGACTTAGTGATGTTTTGACCAAAGGTGGACTGCATACACAATGGCAGTCTGCCAGGCTCTGCCATAGGGCCTCGGAGTGTATACCGTTTAAGTTTGTGTAACTACACTCTGTCACCTGCACATAATGATAAAATTGCCTAATGATGTATTTCTCAGAATGTGTCCCTCTTGTTAGTGAGGCATGACTGTAGTGCTATGGGATAAAATCTGTTGCCTTTCTTTTGTACAGTGGAATACTATTCAGCAATACAAAGAAAGAAACTCCTGATGTGCACATTAACATGGATGAATCACTAAAGAATTATGCTCAGTGAAAAAAAATCAGACACCAAAGGACACATACTGTGGGATTCCATTTATATAAAAGTATAGAATATGCAAGCTAATTTATAGTGACAGAAAGCAGATTCACTGGTTGCCTGGGGGTGACTGGGTGGGTGGATGAATGACAAATAGACAAAAGAAATTAGGAGTCATGGAAATGTTAGTTAATTTGATTGTAGTAGTAATTTTACAGATGTCAAAACTCATAAATTATACACTTTAAACATGTGCTGTTTATTATACACTAGTATAATGAAACAGTGTGACGCTTTAACAGTAAAACATTTGTTGAAAAGCTGCTCTGTTCCTGGGCTCATTTGGACTCTGGGGACTTAAATGTAAGCAAAATCAGACACAGCCCCTGCCCTCAGGGAGCTAGAGTCTAGTGAGGAGAGAGACGTTGTGTGAATCTTTGCTACAGTAATGGAAAGTTTCAGCTGTGAGCACTGCTGTGAAGGAGGGAGACTCCATGCTACTCTTTGAATATGTCTGGAGTCTGGAGGGTATTTGTCCTGGTCCAGGGAGGCTTCCCTGAAAAAGTGATGACTAAGCCAAGACACCTTATAAGCTCAGACCTGAGAGGAGACCTAAAGGTCATCTTGTTAAACTCTTATGAAACCTAAAAATTAAGCCTTTTAAAACAATAGCAACTAAAGTTAACCTAGCTTGGGCTGATGCTGTGCCATGATGGTCAACTAATATTAAAGATGTTTTGCTCAAAGTTGAACGTGGTTTATAAATTTCAGCTGCATGAGGTTCTTGCCAAAAGTTTACTGTCAACTTTCCATCACCTATGGTCATGAACACTCAGGTTTGAGAAAAGGAAATGATCACTCTTGTTTATGTGTCGTGTTTGTCCTGGAGAAGCTCAGCGCCCACGTTCTGGCCTCATCTTGACAGTCTCTGTGTTCCCAACAGGGAGAAGATGAGTCAGTCACCCTGAAATCCTGCACACGGCGGAAAACAGACTCTATTGAGAAGAGGTTTTGCTTTGACGTAGAAGCAGTGGACAGGTGAGTGGCTCACACACTTTTCTCAGGAACAAATATTACAGAATTTGGAGTAACTCACACACTTTTCTCAGGAACAAATATTACTGAATTTGGGTTTCTTTTCCATTCAGTCAAAACTTCAGGTGCTCCCCCTCACTTCTCTATCTGTCTGACAATGTTCAGTTTGGAATAGCCTCAGTCTTATTGCTGATTTGCAAAGATCAGTATAGTTTCCCCCCCTCTTGTAGGTTCAGCAGCCACCAGTTTGTTTTATTTTAATGTTAGGGCTTCCCTTCTGTGGAATGTGTTTTAAGTCTCAGGAGGTTGGAAAAAAGTGTACAGAAACCACTTAGCTTGATTGTATTAGCTATTTGAGCTTTTTTGCTTGAAAAATTTGTTAATTAAAAAATGTTATGAAAATATTCAAAAGGAATTGGGTAAAGGTAAGGGTAGAAGTTTTACTTAATTTGGAAAAGACAGCTTTTAGTTACAGCGTCTCATCTATTGCTGTGTGTCTGCACACCCAAGAAAGATCACAAACCACTTGTGAAATCAGCCCGTGGAAGGAGAGCTATGTGTTACATTCCTCCAGAATTACAGCGTCTCATCAAGTTGGACCATTTCATGATGTTAAGCTAGTTTGACAGCATTCCAATTCTTTAAGACATTTTACTTAGCAACAGGTTAAGTCTTTTAACGAAAGTCACATGTTAAGCTTATTTGAGCTGTCTAAGATCAGCAATGCTAGCATAAAGATTCTTAATCTCAGCATGATTATCATATAATGCCATTTCATTTCTCCCCTTTATTAAAAAGAAACCCACACCATTTTGTTAAGCCAGTACTTCTGCTTTCCTTGGGATATTTACCTCTGGCCACTTTTCCCCTGCTCTAGAGGATCCAGAGACAGTGCCACCTGGTGCGTGCTCCTCCCTGTGTTTGCAGGTTTGGAATGCCTTCTTGTCGCATGATGTCTCTGCACCGTGGCTGCTGGAGGCTGCGAGAGGTCCTTGGGGGAAAGCATGCCCCTTAACTTAGATCAGGAGTTCATGGAAACTAACCACTTTTTTTTTATTTTCTTTTAATGAGCTGTTTACTCATTACACCTTTGACTCTCAAGTCAGACAACTTGGGTCTCAATTTTGACTTTGTTGCTGAGTAGCCATGTCATTTTGGGCAAGTTACTTAGTCTCTCAGGACTTTGACTTCCTATCTGGAAAATGAAGGTAGTAACTACCTAGTTTATAGCATTGTAAAGATTCAAGTAGATAATGCATGTAAAATGCTTGGCAGAGTGGCACATAATAAATGCTCAACAAAAACAAGCTGTTATTATTTGTTGTTAATTAGCTTGTCTTGCATGCTTATTAGACTTTATTTTGTATTTCATATAGATAGACTCTCAATGCAGAGGACTAAATGTAATTTGTAAGGGAAAAAAATAGCTCAACCTTCACCATGTTTGGGGATGTAAGAGGGGAAGTTGGTGGAGAAGGGTTGCATGGAGGGATAGCTTAAAGTGGGGTAGCAAAGGGGAATCACAAAAACAAAGGGGAATCACAAAAAGCCTGCCTCACATTAAAATTGGTTGTTCTTCTTCTAAACAATCCTCTTCTCTCCATTCTAAGCATGAAATTGAAGGGAATGCATACTGTTGGCATCCATGAAAGAAGTTCAGAAGATGTGTTTGTTTGGAAGCACAGCCATCTGATGCTTCTCACATGTGTAGTCCCTAGAGATGGTTGTTTGCATGGCTATTGGGAGAGAGCATGCCCCACATTGCCACTCTCTGTTAGATTGGAAATAAGTTGAAAGATGCCTTCTGTTTCTGTGTTTTCTTCTTTTAGAAGTTTCCCCAGAAGTTCTAGAGAGTTGCTTTGGAGTTAAAAGTCATGGAGTGCATCTGTCTCATTTCTGCCCTTGCCAACACTCCCCACTATATTTCCCCCTTTATTAGGCCTGTAAAAGTTTGGCATGTTTTAGTTATAAGCTGAGAGCAGTTGTGTCACATTCAGCACACCGGGTGGGTTTGAGAAGTCAGTTTCCCCTAAGTTTTGTCTCTGGTTCTGTTGGCATGACTTGGAAGGGTTTCAGCTATGGTTCATAATGAGGCTGCTAACTCTTCTCTTAATAAGCAGGAGGTGAGTAGACAGTTCAAATGTAGTGTTTATGTTTTTCATTTTCTGTAATGAAACCTTTCTGATTGGGGAGACACTGACCTACCTGGGTTAGTCAGTTCTTAGAAACAGAGAAGGATTCAGCCAGAGTGTACCACTAATGGCAAACTAACCAATCCAGAGCCATGCCTTCTCCATCTGGTTCATGCACCTGAGGAAGCAATAGTTCTCTGCCTTAGTCATTAAGGCCTGGGTACCACACAGCAGGTGACGTTCTTAGTACTTAGGGCCCCCTGAAATTATTCAAAGTAACCAACCAACTTTACCCTGTCCTGCCTTGCCTTTCCCTTGGAAGATGACACTTATTCCTTGGAAATTCTGGCAAAGGCTGTGGCCTTGAGTTTCCTCTCCTCCTGCTCCTGCCTCTCATTGGATACTGGTTCTTTCTCAGTTACACTGAGTGGTGTACCACGTATCCTGTTTCTACGACTTGTGAATATAAGAAACTTCGCTTGCCCAAGCCTCTTCCGCATTTCTTCTTGGGAACACATCTGACACATTCAGAGATATTCTCAGACATCTCTCACCTTTCTATATAGGTTGTCATTTTTAGACTCACAGATTATGTTATAGTTTGGCAGTATTTTCCTTGTGCTTTTCCTGTTTTGACCCCACTATCCTTATGCATGTCCCTCAGACATCCAAGAAGGAACTTAAGAGGGGAGGAAAAGGCATTTGCATGTGCTCACTGGCAGCATCCCTGGGAATTTTGCCCAGAGTCCTGTTCTCTAGAAGTTCCCTGTACCAGTGCCCTTTAGCAAGGAGGTGATTGCTGCTGGATGTCCTGTCTTTTTAATTTATGCCTTCCACAGATTTCTCAGCTCTGCCTACTCTGTTAAAGAGGCAGTTTAGTATCTAAACTTTAGATACAAGTTTAGTATCTAAAAATTGTGGAAGTAAAGGAGGAAATAATTGTATTTAACAGTGCAAGGCTTCCAAATGCTCCAATAGTATGTAAACTATAGAACATGGAAACATTTTTATGCTTTTATGCTGAAGTGTGATTTATTTGACTTTGAATATGCAGTGCTATGGCTATTAAGGTTGAAGTCTTTTTTAGTTTCAGTGCTGGTAGGTATTTCATGTTGTTTGGTAACAGGAGCCATAGTCTTCAGGAAGTGATATTCCAGGAGGTCAGTGCTATGAGCTGACTGAATCAGTGTCTACTAGTGTGTGGTGAGGACCACCTGCCCATGGCATCTACGGGAGCTTGTCACAACCACAGCTTCCTGGTCTCTCCCCCACACCTACCCAGTCTGATGTTGTGGAAGTGAGACCCTGAAGTCTACGTTTTCAATAAATTCTTCAGTTACTCTTTATTCACTCTTTATTCACTCTTTATTTACTCATTATATTCACTCTTTAGTTACTCATTATAAAAGCAACAGCAAAACAAAACAAAACTCTCAGACTCCTTTACTGAGAAGCCTAATACCCATTGGAGAAGAATTTTGCTAGAAGTAAAGGGGATTCTGATACAGGTTACTTTATCAGAACAACACTGAGGACTACAACCACAGCAAACCCCCACATTTTAATTAAAGATAGAGGAAGGGTAAGGGAAATGACAGTAAGAGAGAACATTCTGGAAGCTGGACAATGATGACAACTGTCTCCTGTACTCCTTACTACAATGCAGGGAAACAGTATTCCACGTGCCCCACATTACACATGAGTAAGCCATGTTTAGAGGGTGAGGTCATATACCCCCAAGGCTCAGATGGAATTGGAACTGAGGTTAGTAGGAACTCATTCCAGGGAACTTTGTTCCCTTTGAAACTCAAGAAATTTAAGAGGCACAACTCAAGTGTCCAGTTTGCAGGCTGTGAAATTTGAGAAGTGCTTTCCCACTATAATCACTTGCTTTTGACTCCATAAACTAAATGGTAGGTGAGTGTCACAAAATGATTCTGTTGTGGTATTTATTGCTCTGTGACCTTTAGACTTCTTCACATGACTGAGAGTCAAAAGAAACAGTGCAAGTGGAGCCCCGTCAGTTCCATGGCACATAGTAGGTGTTCCACAGATGCTGATTTTTTTCTCTACATTTCTACCTTATGTTTTTAAGATGACTCTCATTTATTTTTAATACGGGAGACCAGCATGAGTAAGAAATTAAGACAGTAGTGCCATTTATCAGTTGAACAGTTTGTTAGTCCTCAAATTCTGATGTAAAAGGGTTAATATCTGACATTTACAGGAAGAACTGTTGTGATTTTGACTCATGAATGAGCAGAAAATCAAATTCAGTGCTAATTGAGGGCTTTGGGGTTTAGATCCACAGTTCTTGAACTTTGTGTGTCAAAGGTTCTCTCCAATACTGAATACCTTCCAGAAACTTGCTTTAAATTCTTCCATTTAAGTTCTACTTTTGATGCCTCAAAAGTAGGTCTTCTCTGTATACCACATTATTCTATACTTGCTTGCATATAATTTCAAAGGCCATATCCTATTTATCCCTTTTTTTCTAGTACCTGACTTCCCCCCTTTATGCAGAATTAGTTTTGGGGAGACTCAGACCAAGCAATTGCTGAAGACCCCTGGACTATTCTGAGCAAATATTTTCCAGGCTGGTATTAGCTCTTAATGTTTTTGGCTTTCCTTCAAAAGGGTATTGTTTCCAACACTGAAAAGTAAAAGTCAATAGAAACTTTTGTATATTTCTTTAATACCAGCCATAAAATTGCTTAGATTAAGATAACATGTCCATTAAAATCATTGTGATGTTTCTTTGAATTTTCTGTGTGTGTGTGTGTGTGTGTGTTTAAATTCAACTTCCAAACTCTAGCATTAAGAATAGGATGTGGCTTTAAATGAAAATCTGTATCTTAGAGTTGTTGTGGT